CAGCCTTGAGCAGTTATTGGGAATGGAAAAACTACGCTGAATTTAACCCGTGAAAAAACAGGTTTGAAAAACAGTCATTATTGCTGCCCCCTCCAGAACGCGAAAACTTTTGGTGCAGCTCCCCACAAGCCTAAGAAAGTGGAACGTTTATCTTGTTCTGAGATGTGTGGCTTCCCAACAGTTCATTTGTAAAATGATATAGCCCATAATTCAAAGTAGCTTTGCTGCCCAAAATGGGACAAAGTAGTTTTGAATGACAGAACTGATCTATTAGAAAGGTCCAATTTATTTTTTTTTTATTGTCATTAATCATTCCCTTAGCAGGTTAGAAAACAAAAATGACATTTCAATAACATTTCATCATAGTTTATACAGAACTGTTTGATGCATGGTGTCATCTTCTCATTCAAATCCACAGCCACCTTCCAAATCGCAGAGTTTAGGAATTACAGTGCACGCTGGACTAAATTCTTTCACAATGTAAGGCACAACTACATGATCACAAGTAGTAAACACACACACTGAAATCAGAACTTAAGAGAATCAAACTTCAATTAAAAAGAAACAAAACCAAAACGCACCCATGCAAAAAAAAAATAATATCTATCTACACCTACCAAGATGGTATGATCCAGTTTAAAAGAAGTGCAGTACTCTGTAGGTAAAACTGCAACATAAGGCTATTATAATACATTACCTCTAAATACTGGGTAAGAACTTAAAACTTTTTCCATTTATATTTTATACAATTATACAGAAATTAAGCTGTATGAGCAATATTCACATCTGCAATAATAAACTGATCATTAAAATTCAGAAAAGAGGCAAAAAACAAGACAATGTAATTTGTGACACACATCCGTTACAGAATACCATTCATCAAGTTCACAGCTCAACTACTGAAGAAAAAAAAAAGACGACTAAATTAATGGTACATTTGGTGAATGAGGTTACCTATAGCCAAATGACAAAGCTGCATACAAAATTGTTTTTACCCAGCAGACCGTGATTATGAAAGCTTGTGGTTATGGTTTATTTCCTGTCCAGCAGCTAGAGTTTGCAAGATTGAAACTACAGAAGTTAAAAGAATACAGGAGAGTTTACAATAACCTGAACTATTGGATACTTTCAAACACATTTTAAAAAAAAAAAAAGACTTAACCTTTTTCCTTTTTGGTGATAAACTTTCGCAATTTTGGCATTCACTATAACTTATACATAACATGAAAGTGAGCAAACTTTATTAAACTTACCTAATGTTTAATTTCACGCTGAGAGGTAGTTTAAATGAAATCTTATGTAACGGCATCAAATGGTGGGGTTTTATGATATTTTTTTGTGATTTTTTTTTTCTTTTCTTACAAAAGTGACAAATCCTATACAAGCAGCATTTTGGACACATTACTATAAAAAGTTCTGGTTTTTGCTAACCCAGCGAGACATTCTTTCAAATATCCCTTTTGTGCCAGGAATCAAGCTTTAGCGTGACAGAACGGAGAACTCTGCCATGAAGCCAACAGCAGAAGCCTGGACCTGCCAGCATCAGCCTGTTGACATATAATGATGAACACTCTTTCCCAGCCTTCTTTACCCAAAAAAGGCAGGAAATACGGATGAATTTGGTTTTAGTTTAGGTCACAGGGGCAAGGAAAAATTGGAAAACACGCCTACCAGGCTTCTGCTTTCATAGTAACGTTGATCCAAAAGGGTTAGCAGGGCTTCAGTAATCTTCAAATGAGCAGGTACTCCTGTATCTGCTGCACAGTGAGTGCATAGTATGTGGTGAGCTACAGACAAAAGGCAGAGTTTATTACATTAACTAGTACCTATCCTCTTCATTATTGTGATCCTAAGTGGCATCTAATGTTGTCTCTAAAGATGCAAACCTCTTTATTCAGTGCCTCTTTAAAAAAAAAGAAAGAAAAAAACCAAAAACAAAACCAAAATCCCCTAGCAACAGAATACCCCCAAAATTGAGTTTCTGTGGAGGGACTTTACTATCCAATTATTGCTGGTCTTGAAAATACACCACTTAGTGCTTTTGGAGAGGCTGTGGTTAGACAATTTTAAACTTATCCTAGAAGGGATGGTGAGGCTAAGACTTCAAAAATTAAAAACTGGATAACTGTCAAGTCCCTTGAAAATACATAAAAATCATGTTTTCTCATTTTATAATCTTAAAATGAAGCTCTACAAAGACATTGTGTGCGTGACTACATGGTTTTTGTTGTTACATGTGCTCTCAGACGATGATTGCATTTTTGGTACAAAGGAATTATGAGTGCAGTTCTCCTTACTTAGCAAGGGGCCAAATGTAATGCAGTGAAGTCCAGCTGAAGGTAAACCTTCTGTCCGTTGATTACAGCTAACACGTACAATGCGAACGATGCTGTTCCATTTACTGTAGATTATATCGGTCAGAGAGCAAAAAGTGCATAGTGCAAATGACAGTGTTGTTTCCTAGTCCTCCAAGAACATGGGAGTGGGAGGGGTGATATTTGGAGGAGTAATTTATCAGTTTCAACATAAACTATGGTATCATTCTTCTTGGTGTAGTTGATGTTCTGTTTGAACTTAAGCTCCAGTGGTTTTCTGTCTGCCACTGAGTACTGGTCGTAAATTTTTAAGTTTTGCAAAAAGCATTTGTTCCCACTTCGTGTTTAACTGACATTTTACAATCCAGAAAAGTACTTGAGCTTTCCAGGTCCGTTCTTTAGGAATGTCACTTATTTTACATCTAGCATGAGACTCAATTGTTCTTGTTAATGTAATACAAATACAGCAAGGTTACTTCATGCTTCTGCTCCCAAATCCCTTCTTGCTTCACTAAGAAAGCTTTTCCAGTGAGGATTCTCAAACAATCCTAATCATCCCAAACCCAACAAAAATAGTTACCCATTGTTCTCGTCTACCTAGAGCTCTACATTCCATGGCAACTTGGTTACTTGACGCCTTCAAAAAACAGAGGAAAAAAACCCACACTATACCCTAGAGCCTCGGACTCTTGTGCCAGAGAGTAAAGCCAACTGAAAAATGAGATCCCTCTAAACCTCTTGCCTCTGTTGGAAGCTGCAGCAGAAAATTCCTTTTGTCTCCTCATCTGCAGACAGCAGCTTTTCCTACTGTGACTCATTAATTTTATCCTCTGTTCAACCTTTGCAGAAAGGGGAAGATTACTGGAGGGAAGGAATACATTGGGAGAAGAAATAACAGTGAAGCACAGCCAGCTTAAGATCAAAAGCCTGCCACTGACCCCTGCAATGCTACCTGCCTCCAGAGGGCTTGCAAGAAGGGAGGCGTGAAGTATGTATTGCTGGAGTAGCACAGTAGGATTTGGCATTTTGGAGGAAACAACAACACAAGTGATTGTGGCACTTTGACTGGGAAAAGAGGTGGTCTCCAAGAAGCTCTCCCCACCCTTAACAACACTATCCTTTTTACACTTTTCCTGCCTCTATAGCCTTCTCTCAGCCCAGGTAGCAGCTGGTCTCTCATATTCTGCTCCCCAACAATTCTGAATGTGGTGGAGTGTCCTGCAGAGGGGCTAGTTTCAGGAACAAACCCCACACTTCACTGTCCCATTCCTCATGTCATGGTAATGGCTAGTAATCAAAGGCAGCTTGAGGATCCAGCACACCTACTGGTTCGAGCGCTGGCTTTACCATTATTTCCACCTCTTGCTCTATAATGGCCTCTCCTCAGTGAATCAGAGCAGTCTAGTTCTTGCTAGAGGCTACTAAAACACATCACTGTGTGTCCTGCAGTTCCAAGGCTCCAGTCTGTGCTGCCATTTTATTAGTTTTTGCCCTCTGTCCCTGTGTTCCCAGTCTGAAAAATCAGTGCATTAAACTATTTCATCTGGAATCCTTTAGCTCAGCATGGTAAAGGTTACCAGGCTTTTTACTAGGCTTTTCTATTATTTATATTGTAAAGCAGTGCAACAAAAATCCCACATTCCTACTGAAACATGCCCATCAAACCAGCCAGACTCTGCAAGCAGATTTCTAAATGCAAGCTTTTCACCTTTCAGTTTCCCTTATTATGTATCTCATGGCTCATTTTACTGAGCTTGAGTGGAACTTCCAACCTGGCAGTGAGGCTGAGAGCATTATAGGGTCTATTATACCATCAACTTGTCAACAAATACAGACCAGCACTAAGAATCACAAGCACAAAAGAAGGAGCGTAAGATTTAGCAATGGAGTCATAAATTTACTCCAGTGAAAAGCTGTAGAAATCCTGACCTATTGCTGCAAACTCAAAGCTCAAGCATGAAAGCTTCCACCAAACCACTGTTCCTCCAGATTTTAACAATCCTTCTTTCTACAAATGTGTATTTGAAAAGCATTTCCATCTCCGTGAAAAGTTGGCATTTCCATCTCCGTGAGAAAAGCATTTCCATCTCCGTGAAAAGTTGGTCATATAAACTGGTCAGCAAAAAGGGACCTTCGGAAATTGAGCCAGTTTTGCCCCTGAAGCAGAGGAGCTCCAGACCGAGGTCTGATCTGCAGTCAACCAACTTCCTTCAGCAGCCAGCTGAGGTGACTCTGCTCATCTTTACACAAAGGCATCCCAAAAGCCTGAAATAAGAACAATTAAGAACCCTACTAGAGCTTCTACCACTTCCTCTTTACTGCAGAGCTTTCACACATTCCTATTCAAAAACAAAATGCCTGAACACAACTGAGTCTTTTAATCATCTTCTTAGCTCACCCTGAAAGACTTCCATCTTCCTCTGCCTCATGTATTTTGTCCTTGTGCAGTCACAGGAAGCTTCTCTCTTCCCTCTCTCCACGTGGTTGTCCTTCACCCCCAGAGCAGCACGAGGCTCCCTGTGTTACACAGCAGGGCAGAGCACATCTAGGCTGGGGCACGACTGTCTCATCTTTACCTTTCCCACATTTCTGAAGTCACTTGTCGAAGAAAGAAAGGCTCAAAAGCAACTCTTTGGATTCTTGCAGTAAATAAATCAGTCAAAAAAAAATTCCCAGAGGCAGAGATTCTGTTTGTATTTTCTATTCAAAATATTCTTATGACAAACAGTTACACTGACAAGGAGAAACAGTGAGTCCAGAGCCTCTGTTCATATGGAACCATTGCAGCAATTGTTTCTTTTGAATAAGCACCCCTCAAGTTCGAGCCAGAAAAGCAGGTCAGTATTTCACACAAAGTACGGTTGTATCCCAAACCTTTTTACAGCGAGGAGAACCAGTTACACAATTCAGCTGGCTTTTGGGAAATAAGAATTTAGTTTTAAGAAAACTCCTTGAGGAAGACTCCTTGAGACTGCAAATGTGAAACTAGATGGGTAAGCTAGGAAGGGACATGAAACATATAGATGACTACTTCTGGAGAAGTGGCATTAAGAAGTTCTTTCACTTGAGAGTTCATCAGGACTAGACATTTTTCATAAAAGAGGCTCTTCTTCATTCCCATATAGAGCTGTCAGTAGATAAAAGCAAACAAACCTGCGTAACGATGGCTAAGCTTCCATCACTGTGACAGATTTTCTCTCCTTACCTCAGGAAGAAATAGAGGAATTCAGGACACAGTCCTTTTCTCTGAACAGCTGGCAAAATTTGTTAAGATGCAGAAGGGCTCGAGGTGTGGGGAATTTATTAGGGTATTTAAGACAAAGGGTCCCTAGATATCAGAAGGCATAACCCCTACTCAGAAGAAATAACCTTAACAATTTTGAAATACCAGATACAAAGGGAAGAAAAGTTAGAAACAGGCAGCCAAGAACAAACAGGTGTAAATAAAATCACAACAAAAAAGAAGTTTGTAGCCTACATGAACTCTACAAGAAACCTCTGTTGCAAGTACAAAAAAGAAAATATGAATAAATATCTAACCCGGTAACGGGCATCAGATGGAGCAATGGAAAACTGAAGTTTTTTAGGTGTAGCACGACTTCAGCTTTTCCCACCAAAAGCTGAGGGAAGGGACAGAAGAAAAGATCAGATAAACTGGATCAGTCTCAAAAAAGACGACTTCTTAGTAGGACACCTAGCATGGAAGGTCTGGATGTCCCTTAGAACCACAAGGACCTCTCAGGGTTTCCAGAGTACAGGCAGGGGAAAGAGGTGCTACAGGCTACTACCAGTGTTGATTTTTTGATTTTTAAAACCCACATATAAGTGTTTCTGGAATATTAAAATCCATCAGCCGAATATGTAGAAGTAAAATCAATCAATATGGGATGGAATATTGTAATGTATCATGTAATATTCCTACAGCGCCAGCTAAACTTTGTCTCATCGCTTGTTCACACATACTCTCTCTCAGACCCACACACAAACTATACAATACAGTATGTGTAAAGATGTTCCAGTATCCAAGTGCTGTACTTGGGTAAGGACTCGGGTGCTGATACTACAACAAGTTATAAGTGGGCAAATAAAACTGAGTTGGAGTCGACTCCAGCTGTTACCCACACTGTGGAGTTTGAACTTTAGACAGAAAAGGCCAAGAACCAGAGATAGAAAAAACAAAACCACAAGGGGTTATAAAGAACATCAGATATGCAATCAAATGCAACAATTAGTTATGCTTTTATGGCAACATTTGATACATAAAATCCTCACAAGTTTTTGCATCTTCCTTTTCCTTTGAAGGAAACAAGAATAAACTGCAATATCACATAAACGCTGTTTCTCTTGAACAAAAAAATAAAAGATAAAAAAATACATTGTTACTCCTCTGTTTAAACTTTATTTACAAATAACTGGGTATTTCTAAACTAGACATAGAAGCTCTTTCCAGGATAAATGGCAATAAGCTATGGATGATCTGAGCCCATGTCTCACAAAAAATACAATAGTTTTACTTGGTATCAATAAACATTTTAAAATATACTAAATTTTGCCAAGTGTTACAATCATTGTCCAAACTGAATAGTAGTCTGAGTGCTGAACGAAGTGCATCAACAGAAATTACAAGTTTTAGTGTAACATTTCTTTGTCACTCACGATAGCCAGTTATCCTTGCAAGTCATTAAAGCAAGTATCACAGACTCGGACAGGCTTCTTAGAAGAAGGAGTTAAGGCATTCTTTGCTGAGCACTCGGCACAAAAGATATTTCCACACTGTCTACAGTGATGCTGTGAAAGAGAAGAAACATATATGCTGAATACCAATGACAAGGCATCAAATCAGTAACAGAGATCACTATCACATCAAGTCAACTCTCATGTTTCAGAAGTAAGCTTGAATTTTAAATAGTAGTTACATAGCACACAGGCATAGGAGTAAGTCTTTTCTAAAGGGTATAGGAGTAAAATATTCAGAAGTGTTTCACTGTGTCGGGAGACTATATCAGTTTTGGAAATGAACAGGTTGAAATTCACCCTCCTTTTTAATTTCTCCTCTTGAACTTGTTCTGGTCACATAAAACGTATTATTCTTACATGTAACTACCTGCTTTTACATTGAGGAGTATCCTTGAATCAAAGGACCCAACAGCCTTTGTTCAAAGACTACCCAAAGAACATCACTGAAATAAAGCAGGACAGGGAGAGCCACCTAAGACCAAGTCAAAATGCACTGCAAAATGAACCTCATCAATATCCCTCATCTAGTTCATTGCCCAGTCACTTGTTGGAGGGACGGTCATCTCTGGATGAAGGGCAGACCCAGCCAATTAAGGGATGCTAACATCTTAGCTGACCACAGCTGTTTTTACAGAGAAGTTCTGACTACAGACCTAAAACACATCCAGCTGTTTCTTCTGTTTCATGCCTGGTGAGTATTTAGAAATAAATAGTCACAAAGCACCAGACCATGTTGATGCCTCAGATTTTCACAAAGATCTAATTTCAACAAATGTACATTCCTTTTACATCTATAAATCCAGTTCAGACCACTGTAAATACCCCTGCAACAGTGTGATTCTGATTGCTTGCTTGGGGGATTGAACTATTTTAACACTGTTTGTAAACTGATGTTATTAGAATGGCAAAAGAATCATGAATGTAGTAATCCCACAACTTTTATTTTTAATATTTAAGGCATTGCAGGCAATGACTGTATGCTGAGATGTCCTGAGTATTACAGCCATTTTCTGAAGTTTGTATCCCATCTAAGAGTTTGAAAACAACAGAAAAAGAAAATCCCCACAGACACACAGCAAAACACACCTACCCTTCTCACTGTCACCGAAAAGCCTTTTCCACAGGCCATACAATTCTGTACGTCATTGTCTTCTGCCCATTTCCTGTTGAGAGCTTGGGTTTGTTTGATCTATATAGAAGATATAAAAAAGCAGGGGTTTTTTTCTTTAAATGCATGTCTAATTCCTACTAATTTCCTCAATTTTCAGTGCACACGCTACCCAGTGCGGTATAAAAGCACCAGTTCTGCCATGATACTGAGAGCTTATATTTGTTCAGAGAGAAAATCTTCCAAGTTTCAAAAACTACGAGCAGATTTAAGAAGCCACAGACAGCAATATGGCTCTGGTAACCACACCGTAACATCTGGATCACTCTGGATTGGTGACCCACCACCAACCTGACAGAAACTTGAAATAAGTTTCCCACACAGAGAATCAACAGGTTTAGCTGCTTCAAATCAAATTGTACCTGTAATGACTGGTTTTCTCGGCCAAGTTCCTGCATTGCAGCAGTAGTGTTGTCCAGCTTTTTCTTCATTTCTACAAGTTTGGCTTGAAGCTTTTCAATTTCTCCCTCACTTTTTATACACCTGAGGCAAAATAATAAGTAGTCAGCTCAAAGCATATAAGGCAATGTAAACTACCCCCTTTGGGGCAGGCTCTCATGACTGAGAAGTCTTAAAATCCAGCCAAAAATATCCTTGCTGTGAAGAGTTCTTGGATGCCTTGACTGGAAAAATGTTCTGTTGTAACAATCAGTTTAAGATTATCTGACTTTCCCTCCAAATATCTGCAGCTTATTAATACCTGGAGTTACTCCCAGAACCAGGGACGGTACTGAATGCAGCCCATCAATAGCAAGCCCCGATAAGTAGTACCCCTGTGGAACAGGACACTCTCACAAACCAGCTGCAGCAGATCAGGTCAGACCACGGAGCAGAAAAGAACCCTTTTTCTTTTAGCAAGGCCACCTCCCATCAGCTGAAACTTAGTTAACTGTTGAAAGCTAAATTTCAAAGGGTGGGTTTCTGCCAAGCTGTAAACAGCTACTGGATGAGTTCAGCACAGTATGTCAAGGGATTGCCAAAGAAAGAGGATCCCCCTTAAACTGAGCCCATCCTTTCCCAACGTCTTCTGCTCAACAACCTAACCAGCAAGCTTGACAGCACGAATAAAGTTTTCCATTCTGCCTTCGCCAAACATGTTAGGATATAAGGACAAAGAAAGTCTCCTGTCTCACGTGTGTTTCTTCTACCCTTGTAATCGCTGCTTTCAGGCAACTCCTGCTGCCTTGCATGGCTCCTGCTGCCTGAAGGAAAGGCGCTCTGCTTAGCTAAGATTTAAATATATTGCAGAAACAACAGCAGAACTGGAGAAAAGAAGACTGTAGGTTTTCAGGAGGAACAAAATGCCTCCTGGGTGAACTTCAGCCTATCTGGCCCAATTACAAATTCAATCTCCTAACACTGAGCAGTGGGCATACCAAGAAGTCCCTAAGCAAATGCTATGTTATTGGAGGCACTAAGAAGTCCCTTCCAGACTTGTGGGTGAATAGTGCATCCACTCTGATTGAGTCAAGGCAGGGGAGCCTCAGAGTGATGGAGAAGGATAGTTAACTCAGGTAAGAGAAGCTCTCTCTGCCAGGCCTTGCAAGGTTCACACAACAGATGAGATGAGAAGCCACAACCTACACACCTTCAAGTTCAGAGGAGCCCAATGGATTCAGAAGGCTTTTACAGATGGGCATAAATCTTCAAGCACAAGCACAGAGCTGTGGCTTCAGTGGTGAGGTTCTGATAAGCCTGCCTGACTTTCTACAAAATGGTCACCCTGTGCACAGTTTGTTCTCAACACCCCTTGCTGTGCTTTGGCAGGGAAAACAGAAGGTGGCACTCTGGAAACTGCACCCACATCCCAGGCGCTAGGAACAAACAGGGATTTAAATAAAGCATGCACAAAGAATCCTGAATCAAATGAAACAAGTTTTCAGCACGAGGCTATCCGATTCCCAGACTTCACTTCCACAGCTTACCTCTCCAGCAACGCTCTTCTCTCATCCTGATTATTCTGCACTGTTGCTTCCAAGACGGCAATGTCTCCACGTAAATCATCCGTCTGCTTCTCCAGCTCACTCACCCTCCTCTGACTGCTCTGCCACTCTTTCTTCATGGTAGCCAGGTTTTCATTCAGAGCTGTGACCTGCATGGTGAGCTTGGTCTCCTTTTCCTCATGCTTCCGGTTTTCTTCTTCTTTCTCTTTTTTCTCTGTGTGCTAAGCAAACAATGGAACAATGAAAAACAACCTTCCAAGTATTCTTTCCCTATTCCCTACATTTAATTTAGACAAAGAATCTTACTGTACTAGTTGCTTTTAATCAACAACCTCTATTAGACAGGGCTGTCAACCCACTGAATTTTCCTACACCATTAAACGCCTCAAAAATTTCTGACTTTGTCATTTAAAAATTAATGTGAACCTGAAGTCAACTCTTTGCTTCCTCTGTATCTCTGAAAGAATCCAAAGGCATGTTCACAAAACAATAGCCTTATACTCTCTACCATACTAACCAGTTTAGCTTCAATTTCAGCACATTCTTTCTTCAGCTCCTCTTCTCTCTTTTTCAGCTCATCTTTGACAGCTTGATGGTTTTTCTTCTCCTGTTCCAGACCTGAATTCATCTTATCTATTTTGCCCTGCAGCTCTAATTTCTGTTGAATCAACAGCTGTTTTGCATCCTTGAGATTTGCCACCTCCTGTTAGGATACAGAGCTCAAAGTTAAAGTAGCAATGTTGAAAGCATAAATGATTTAAATTCAAAACCACTGTAATTCTTCCCAAGGAGATAATTTTTAGTTTTATCACTGGAAGAAAGTATGATTTTACAGCACAAAGTATCAGTGATTTTCATGATCAAACTTAAACTTATATTATGAACAACATTCAATTTTCAAAATAAATTTAATGTATGTTTGTAGTAAGGAAGGTCTGTTGGATTATTTTCTACAGTTCTTGGAAAAGGTAGGTCCATTGCCATTTTCTCGAGTCTGTTCTAAAATTTACTTCACACTCTTCTCTGGTTGCAGTACTGAGGTTAAAAGCATCATAATGACAATGTAGAAACCAAACATTGATGGAAGAAAGCTTGTTTCTATTAGTCCTAAATGTATAAATAATTACCCTACATTTTAAGCAAGTAGGATGATAAATTTGGTTTTAAATATTAGTTTTACTTGTTCTTCTGAAATAAAACATAAAAAATCCTTTAGTAGAACAGTTCGCTAAATTTATAGTACTAATTTTCCTTAAAGTTACGTAGCCAAGCATGCAGGTATTAAGACTAATAGGGGTTGTCAGTTTTCAGTAAATCAAAATTCACCTCACAAATTAAAACCAAACCAAAGACACCAAGAGGACATATACTGAGGACAGCGGGGTTCCCTATAGATGCGTATCTATCCATTCCATGGTAGGAGATGGGAAACAGAGTATAAGCCTTTAGGAGACAATTTCTGGTTTAGTCTGATCGTTTGTAGGGAGATTGAGAGTTAAATATTAAGCTGCCACTGTTGTGCACACATTTTATATACATCTTTATAAAGTTTCTTCTTTAGAACAGAGATTTTAGGAATGACAAGAATTATTATAATGTTTCCCCAAAATCCAAGAAAATCTAGAAATCTACTAGGCATAGATTGCTTAACAAAAACAAAGTACAGTTTTCTATCTAAAAATAAGAGAGTATTTTCTAGACACTGGAGAACAAAAGAACATCTGAAACTCATAAGATATCACATTACTTTCTTTTTATTAGCGTATAGGGACTGTACCTTTGTTCATAATTGTGCAGCAACTTAAACCCTGTATGCTTAACAGATGCAACTATAACTACTAATAGTAGAATATGGAAAACACAAACTATGGCCCTTTAGGAGTGTTTGTTTCTACAGAGACTAAAAAATGAAGTACATAGGATGTGGAGAGAAATAGTTTTACTGAAGAGTAAAAAATATTTAATTAAAGCCTCCAAACTTTTACTCTTTAGAGAGCTCATTTGATTGTTATGGTTTTGGAAGACAGTCTTTTATGAGACTCCTGATATTGTTTCTTCCCCAACTGTGACTTTTTAAGACATTTTAAGAAACCACAGCACATCAAGGGAGTTTCAACTCTACCCCGCATCCTTGAGAAGTACCAGATGTGCCTAGAATATCTGGGAAACTTCACATTCATGAGACTTTTGGATATCTTTTCTGCACTTCAGAATAGTCAAGCAAGGGTATGCACAGTGAATCTACAGTGGAACAGAAGAAAAGTCAGGACATACAACCCATCCTGAACCTAAGACAAGTTAAGTGGTCCACCTGGCCAAGAACACTGGGCACCGGTGCTCCAGGATTATCACTAACCAAGTCAGCATTCCTCAGGAACCTCAACAAAATCTGTGCTTTGATCCTCTTACCTGTAATACTGATATTTACAGCAACCACCTTTGCAAAACCATTCCAGATAACAGCTACTAAGTAGGCACATATTTCTTAACAGATAACCAATCACATGAAGACTCTATTTGTTTCAATATACCTTCTCAAATTCTTGCTTGCAGGCTCTAAGCTCTTCACCCAGCTTGGCACTTTCTTTTTCAAGTCTACTCCTTATTTCCTGGAGCTCTGTTGTTTTACATTTTTCATTAGCCAAGTCTTTTTCTTTCAAAATCTTGAAGAGAAACAAAAAGTGCTAGAAAAGTTACTTCTTCCAAGTTCACAAAATAAAAAAACAACAACCAAATAAAAACCATCCGGGGCCCAAAACCTGGTTGGAGGTTTTGTAATTAAGGGGAAACAACTGCCACATAGTTCTGTTCACCGTTTGTAGTGCAAAAAATTAGCAGCATGTTTGCAGTTTTAGATTTAAAACTAATAACATTTTTCCACCTGTCTAGCCACTTGGAACAAACTGACAGCCTATTTTGAACCAAATCATTTAAATTGTCTGTTAAAAGTCTTTGCACCACAGGTTCAGTTAAACTGCCATTGCTGTGCACTACAACAGAGCTATGGCCTCAAAATACCCCTTGTTTAGAGACATAACAGAAATTAGTAACAGGTGCCAGTGTGGGATGGACGCAGGAAGATTTCAGAAGACAGAGGCACCTACCCTGTCATTCTGAAGATCCTGCAACATTTTGGTCTTCTCAGCCAGCTGCTGCTCCTTCTTTGATGCATCCTGCTCCAGTGTAGACTTTGCTTTCTTCAGTTCCTGAATCTGCTGATTATTGCTAGCAATTCGATTTCTGCTGGAAACTAATTCTTCTTGAGCTAGGGCAAGTTTCTCTTCTGCGGACTAATTACAAAGACAGTTCTGCATATTATCTGTCAGTATAAGAGGTTCAGATACTCAACAGTCACTTAAACATTTTCCATATGGAAAAATCGTTATCCAGCATGCAACCTTTTGCTTCAAATGTTGAGAAACTATAGTTACAAAAACTTTTAGGTTATGAGGTTACCTGAAGCAAAAAGAAACTAACCCATTACCATTTCCAGCAGCAATACTTTACTGTACATATTCCAGTTTGCATCCTTCCACAAACGATGAAAACATACAAAAGGGCAGAGAATGAAAGTTTGACTGGTGAAAAGAGAATGAACTTGAATTTGCTCACATATATTTATTTCATTCTCGGGGGAAATCAGCTGCTCTATAACTCTAGACAGCTGTAACTGAAGAGGCAGTGAAGCTATCCTGTGCAGATTTCAAAAGTCATTCAGTAGTATTTTTCACCAATGAGTTAATGAAGCTAGTGCTAGGGCGACTGTAAAATTTTTGAAAATCCTGAAGTGAAAGGTACAACCTAAAAATACTAATATCGGGACAAAACATTTTACGGTCTCACTGCATCAGCATTTTAACCACAAAATTTAAACTTCCATTCAAAATCTACTACAGATTATATTTTAATTTCTCTCCACCTCTCCCCATTATCTAGAAAAATAACTTGGATTTATCTCTCTACAACAGGTCGCAAAAGCCCAGGAAACAACATGAAACTTGCACTCAGGGGTCATACTATTTGCTCACAGCAAAGTCAAACTTCAGGGATCTTCTTGAGTTAGTATTCTGGACGTTATTTTTTTAAAGCCTTCGGCTTAGGCAAGGACTAGCTCCATTTAGAAGCATGTTCTTTCACAAAGAACCAACAAGAAAGAAAAATACCAAGTTCATACTCCACTCCTCCAAAATATTGGTATTTTATGAAAATTTTTGATGCTAAGATACAGAATGTGAGGTAAAGAGATTTGTTATTAGTAATAAGTTTATTACCTTCAGTGCATCAGTAAGGATTTAAATTCTTTCAAGACAAATTAAATTCTTTTTGAAGCTCTTACTTATATCCTAATCAAACCTTTTATTGAGGATCACTGATTTTAAAAGGCACAATAAGCTCAACTTTGACTATACTTAATTATGCATACGCTTTAGCCACTCCCATGTTGATTTAAAAACAAATTTATTTCTGATGCCTCCTAACCCCCCCTTGTAATGTCTAAAGTATTTTGCCTGTATAGTCAGACTTAGGTTGAAACATTAATGATGGAACACTGCTGATTCAACAGGATTTTCAACAACCCCAGTGGCTCTTAAAAAACTCACACTGAGTTTTAAAATTAATTTGCAAAAAAATTATTTTATTTCCTTTCTGAGCTATTAGAGTTTACTGCTTAACACTTCACTCGGTGTTAATTCAGAAACTTTTTTAAGCAAAATAGGCGGTGCTTTTTCAATTTCAAGCTTTCAGCAGGGTGGGTCTTTCAGAAAGCAAAATTATTCCTCTCTGCTCCACTGGGGGCACTGGAGTACCGTATATTTCCAAACAATGAAAAAAGATGGAAGAGTAGCATCATCATGTAACATCTTCCCAGGAAAAACCATTAGTCTCTGCAGTCTTAGAAAGAATCACAACGAAGCCACAGCTGTTATCCAACTTTTCTTCCAGTAGAAGAAATGTGGTTACATCCAATTTGTTAGCACAGAATGATGAAATTTGATGAAGTGAATAGTGACACCCAAATTAAAAACCTCACCCAGGGAATATTCCTCTCTCAGCGGCCTCCCCCTCCCTCAAGGTTACTACACTGGACAGGTTGTCTCATTGTGTCTATACCTAGGCTAAGATGATGCAAATATAAGGGGATACACTGCAACATATTATATACAAACATTATTATCATTATTATTATATCTTGTATTATCATTCAATAGTTTGTCATATAAAACACCTGGAATTTTGCATACAATTTAGCATACTATCACAAAGGTGCCTCTTAATTGTGCTGTGATTAATCACAATGTTACCTACCTTAACTGGGAAACCACTGAATATCATTATAACAGTAAATCAGCATTCTATCTATTTATGCCTTTCTTTCTGCTTTGCTCAGAAGTGCCTCACAGCATCCTTCGGGAATGAGCAGAAATCTTCTGACACATGGTTAAACATTCCAGTTATTATCCTCTTGCTCCTGGCCCAGTCTCCACTGAGACTGTTAAGGAGCTCATATCTTTAACGTAAAATCACCTCTCAAAACACCCAATGCCATTTACCTTATTTAATTACCATTCAGCTTTGCCATTGCTCCCAGAATATGACAGGTGTTCTCCCAACAGGAAACCCTCAGTCATGAGATAGCTCTTTAGCGTGCAAGGAAAAGGTACAGAATGGAAGATGCCAATCTGCACTAACTTTGGTAGGTACATCCTACCTACAGATGGTAGGATGATGGTATAGAGTTTAAATAAATAAATAAATGAAAAGATAAGAAGATATCACAGTCTGATTCACTACAACTTGGGCTGTTGCAGTGCAAATAATAGTCCCAACAGCAGAACTGGTCCTAGCTGCATGGTTAGGACCTGGATTCATTCCACCTAAGTGAGATGCACAAAACGAGCAGTTTAGTCTGTGCGCTCCCTGATTCCAGTCCTCAAGGACATGAAATTATTCACAGACGCTAACCTCATCTCACTTCACTTCCTAAGAAGAAGGGTTAGGCTGACTGTAGGCAACCAGGCTCCTGACTTAGAGACCTGAGGTTTGGCAGCATGAATATTATCCCAGAACATCAACTGAAGATACCCTGACAGTGATGCCAATACTGGAGGCAAGAAACATTCTTTTGAGAACACAGAGGAAACCAGGACTGACTGCAAAAAGCACAAATGCCAAGACTGAAGGATACTTGGCAGAGCTCAGGAGATCAGAATTCACACGAAGTATGTTTGCACTAACTCAAAATCAAGTCAAAAATAACAGTTCTGCATTTTTGTTAACACTTCTATATAAAAAACCCCTTTTCCACAAAAAAAAATCCACTAATTTGTGTTTGTGTGTACAAAAAATGGTTACATATTATATACACACACACATATATATTTGTATACAAGTGTGTGTGTACATAGACACAGAAAATGTTCAGTGGTAGTCTTTTTTATTATATATATTCTTTTTTTATCAAAAACTATAGCTTTTATAAGCACTCAAATCCTACCCGATTTCTTTTTCCAGTCAGAGAGACAAAATTGTATGAGTGTAGTTACTGTTATAGACAGTGAATTTTTAAACCAAAGTAAATTTGCAGCAAATAGTATCCATAAAATTATAACCACACTCTCACTTCTGATTTTGTTACAGCACTTCTCACTTTTCCTCTGCAAGGCTTACAGCTTCAAAGTTTGCATCTGTCTACAACTACACAGGATCTTCTGTTACAGCACCAGAAACCAGGATCCAGCTGTGCTGATGGCACTCCAGCGGGCAGCTGCCCACTCTGAAGCTCTCTCTCATGCCATCTCCATGTATCTCCAGCTACAAAACTTCACTTTTCACTCACACCTCAGTCTCCCTGCTGGAGATGAGCCAGTGATCCCAGCAGTGATATTCCAAATAGATGCCAGCAGATGGTGCTCTGTGAACAGCCCAACTCCTGCCATCCCCTCCCAGCAACTACACCTATAGGAACTACACCTATCACCCTACTCGTGTCGCCCGTCCACTATATGGCTTTTTATGATCTATCCCCACGCCTGAAACCTTGGCCTCACCAACAGCATGGTGCTACACCACGTGAGAATATTTAAGTTTTCCCTTGTAGTATTTTTAACTAAAGAAAACCTAGCATTGCTAAGATCTCACCACACGGCCTGTCCAACGCTGGGCTTCAGACTCAACACAACCGTGCAGGGAGTTCCTCTCTCTCCTAAAAATCCTGCACTGAAAGACACCCAAGCTCACTTTACATAAAAGCTGTAAAATCTTCTACTACTGCCTACTAAGGAAGTAAAGGCCAGACTGAACCCCAGCCCACACATCAGCTTCGGTTCCAGACTTTAATCAAAATCCATAGCTCTGGCTCAAATTATCTACCTTTATTAAGTAATTCACCTACGGCAAAGCATAAACCAGACAACTAACTTTGAATTGGAGTGTGAAACCCTCTACCATACATAAAGTTTTTCTGACTTGGGTGATACTATCAAGCTGGGGCTTTTTGAATGTGCTTTTCCCATTGTGGTCTTCTAAGACAAGTTATCACTGCTTCTTCAGGTCAACATTGCAATGAGGCAGTACATCCATGATTAAACATCGTCTCCCCTCCTTTTCCTTCTTCTACATTTTACAGAAAAAAGCAGTGGCAAGCAGACCTCACTAATACTAATTAATGTATGTTTTAATTACTTTTTTCTTTTTTTTTTAATCAAGCAAACAGCCTTGAAGTTGGTACATCACTTCCATCCTGAGGACCCCAATCTTCCTCAGGCTCTCTAGGCTCCACAGAAACTTACACAGTAAATCAAGTTACCTGACTTCTCATCTTGAAAACCTTGTTTTCCCATTGCCATCACCTTATTTTACCTTTTTGCATGGATGTTCTCCCTCGCTACCAATCCCATTCAGGTTTAAAAGCATGTGGGACACCTACTGTCCTATTTTATACTTGCCAGAACTAGAGGTCATCATGTTGGTTTAATAATACTTATTCAGAGCTATTTTTGCAACAAGCAATACTCAAATGAAAACTATACTCAAAAAACCCAATTACTGAGCACATCCAGTGCTTTTACAGGTCATTGCATTACCAAGTGTTGAACTAAATGCACTGCAGGAAATTAACTTAGAAAGATACATGTGCAATAGTAACTAATTGTAAGGAAGAGTATGTTTAAACCACCTTTGCTTGTTAATCACGCCAAAGTTCTTCACATTTTTTACACAGTGATTCAACCAAGAAGCACTGATAAGTAAAGCTTCTGTAACCTGCAGGGAAATGCAGCAGGTAATCTAACGCTGCAGGGAAGGAGTATGATTAATGAAACTCCAATGGCCTATATGTAAAGGAGCTATTTTCCTTTTACTTAAAATAACCCCAAACCTGGAATTTGGCAAGGGCTCCACAGCTCACATATGTCTGCCTGAAATGGCCACAAGACCTTTAATGATTTCAGTGGTGGCACTGAAAGGCCTCCACTGGGACAGGTGAAAGGGAGCTCTGAAATCTAAGCAGTCACCAATGACTCCCGTTATACATAAGGTAGCAAACAGAAACTGACATCTAAAACAGATGATTTGTCCTCAAGAAGTGCCTATTTCCATAAACTTCTCCATAAAACAACGCAAAGCAAAGACACAAAGAAGACACAGAGAAAGTTGGAGTGGGATTCACTCAGAGAAGTGCTAAAGCTACACATCTTGCCAGCAGACAGTCTCTGCTACACATTTCATCATGGGACTAACTGGAGAATTGTCTTAGCTCTGACATGAAGGAGGATGGCAGAAAAAAAGGACAAAAACCACATTTACTGACTGACTCAACTCCCAGCAATATCTCTTTAGAGGCACTACACCCTAATACCAAATCAGATAAATACAGTTTAGGAATAACAAAAACTTCAAATTCAGGCACCTGTACTCCAGGCAGGTTCCTAAACCTCCTGTTTCCATTAGTCTGACATCTCTGAAAGTCTACAATCAGCCAGGAAGAAGTGGAAGGGACAAAGACATGTAAAAAGACTGACAACTAAAATTCTAGTTAAATCATCTAGAAGACAGCTGTTACTCACATGCTGGCAGAGACTTTGCCCTAATTAGCTATGCTATTTTGATTAGTTGGAAGCTACAATATATAGCAAGAAAAAGCAACATGAAAAGTTAACTCTTAAAAGAGTATGGAAATTAATCATCTGTCACTTTGCTCACACAGCTCAGACTGCTGTCGTGCAAATGAAAGAGTAGTTCAGGTAAGCCGGCAAGTACACTTGGCTTTAAATTAATTTCAGGATGTCATTTGTCCCAGGGGAAGTATTGAACAGCCCTAAATTCTGTATATAGCAGAAGAGCTTTTTTACTCCTATACAGTTCTTGCACTGTTTCTTGTTCTTCAAAATGGATATAAAGGAGATCTACTAAGTCATATACGACATTAAAATAACTGTAAGTACCTTAAGGTCTTGCCTGGTTGCCAGCAGCTCAGACTCTTTCCCATAAACATCCAGCTGCAGCTTCTCCATGTTTTCCTTATGTTTTTCATAGGTCTTCTGTAAGTCTGCTAGCTTGACTTTCTCTGCTTTAAGCTCCTGTGCTGATAAAATAGACTGCTGTTGCAGCTTATTCTCCAGTTCTGCCTGAAACATAGGACAAGAAGCTTCAATTGAAGTTACAGACAGTGAACTTAAATGTTTCAATAAACTGCATCTTTACTGCAAGATGAGATTTTTTCCACTTATGTAATAGCATTTCAGTAATCTCATGTTTGTGATTCTACAGTAACAAATTTAACAACAAAATTTAATTCATGTCAAAAGACTAAGTGAAGCACATTAAGGCCAAACAGCAAAAGTATAAATAATGTTTCCAAGTCCTAAGGTTTCCACAGACTGACTAAAGCACAAGTATGATCATGCAGCATAGGGCAGCCAAAGCTGGAGCGACATTTAACAGCGCGTGGCAAAAAACACAGCATTCCCTAATGTTCTAAGACATTTGATCCATTATGGTTTGTGAGTATATTAAGAGAAGATTTGGTTTGTAACTGCCGTAGAGGTTCCAAAACACCACAGAGTCAGTCTAAAACAACTCTCAGAAAACTCTATTGCTTTACAAGAAAATGGCAGCTCTTGCCTCATAGCATGTTCCTGAAGCAAAATAAAAACAATAAAAACATTAGCCATTTTTATAACTTTATTAAAAGTCAATTCCTACATAATTCATATTTCATCACTAGTTCTTTTTACATTATTGTTGCTGTTGATGATGATGTTGTTTCGATCTCCAACAGCATCTCAAGACCTTGTTTCCACATCCTGACCTTGCAATTTCCAGCAAGATTACAGCAAGCAGCTGTTTATCACAAAGATATTGACATAAAAGCTGCAGCATTTATCAGAGACATTTACATTCATTTTCTTAAAGGAGTAAGATAGGCCAGCCTTACCTTTTCTAGAAGGGCAGTTTTTAATTCAGCTTGCAGTGTCTCACTATGTTTTTTCTTCTGCTCAAAAGACTCCTTTAACTCTCTCAGCTTTCCCTGGAGATGTTGCTCGCTTTTTTCCTTCTCTTTCAGAAGACCCTGAATTTCCAGCACTTGGGCTCGTGCTGAATCAAGTTCTATCGACAACTGCTTAGAAATCTACATTCAAAAAATATTAAATAACTGTATACAATTTTAATTTAAATCACTATTTGTACACATGCTATACTATGTGAAACCGCCTGTTGAACTGTGTGGATGACAAATTACAGAGTACAGAAAGCAAACACATAATTTCACAGAAAAAAAACTGGGTAAAAGCTCTTAAAACTGAAGATTTAGCTTCAGGAAATCAACTCACAAAGGACTGCTAGAAGTTGTGGAGAATCCCCTGATTGTAGGAATCTGAAAGGCTTGTCTTACTCCTCTCTAGGCATTTGCTATTTTCCTCTGCCAGAGACTAGATACCCGACTGTCCCTTTTCTTGCGATCCAGTATGCCCGCTCTCGTGTTTTTACCAAGAGCTGCAGATCAGTTTCTGAGTATGATACTGTTATTTCTTGCATAGAGAACCAGACCATCCCACAGTGCCATTGCTGCTGCCTTCTGCTTCAGAGCTAGGTGCTCCAACACCAGCAAGGATATCTTAAGAGCTACCATAACACATAAAATCATCTGTTATTCCCAATTTCCTACCCTTAGAACAACTGCAGTCTTTTTTCATCATTCAAAATTAATAGCAGGCAACTTTTCTTGTATCACCTTATTATTTCAGTGCCCCAGGTAGGTTACAATTAGAGCACTACAATCTCTTATCTCTCATCAGTCCAGGCAGTGAAAGTGAAAACAAATCTTTTAAACGTTTATTATTATTGTTTTCTAGATTTTTTGAAACTAAGCAGACAGCTTACCCCCTCTTTTTTTTCCAGTGAGTTTTTCAATTCATTCCTTTCTTTAGCCACAGTCTCTGTTTGTACCTGGAGCTGGTGTTTTACCTCTTGGCAAGATTTTTCCTAAAAAACGTAAGACAAGGAAATATTCCTGTGAGCTTCTGAGACACAGTACCAGGTATTTTTACAGGATTTACAAAGCCTTGACAAATAATCCTTTCCTTTTCACTGAAAAAGCTTTCCTTGACAACTGCAGACATATTTTCAGCTCACAACTCCTCAAAACTTGAACAGTGGTAAATCTAAGCTGAACAAAGCTGATACCCTGTACTAACACATGCAGACATGTGCCAAAGATTTTTTCTGATTAGGAACAGTGTCCCTGTTTGAAGCTGCTGTTGGCAGCTCTTCTCCCTATCTTGTGGGAAGCAGTAGGCTTATCAATCTCATCAGGATCCAAAATTTCCTGATGTTCTAAAACTCACGAGTAAGTACATTTGCAGGACTTGTATGCAAATACAACTACATTTTAAGCCCAAATACTATGCACTTAAGACAGTGGCGAGCCTCCAAATGACTACAGAATTAGAAGCAGAATCTGGACTCCTATCTTTAAGTCTAAATTGGGCAGGAAATCTTTCCAGTTTTTAGGAGAAACAAATATTTAAACAGCAGTAACTAAGTAAAGCAAACAAAAAGGCTTATCTTAAAAAGGTGAAAGAGTAAAGGAAAAAAGTTATTTTTAACTAGGAGCAGATTTTTATTTTTTTTTTTAAATCAGAACAAAAGCAGCTATGAACGGATTCTGGGAAATGGTGACATGTAAGACAAGAAGGGAATGAGAAAGCACCCCTACCATGTCTGAGGCAGGAGTCAGAAAAACTGTATAAAAGAAATCTATAAAATATGTATTCATATTGTGCCCATTCATACTACCAACAAAGCAAAAGAGGGAAGCACTTGTCGCCGTACTGTCATTTGTGAGACCTTTCTGAAACTCAAGTATCACTCAAATAATTCTAGTACTTTGATAATACCTGGAGCTAGGCATCTCCCCAGACAACAGACAGTGTTACTCTGCCTACAGTACACAGACTTCCAGCACATCCAGACAAGTGCACAGAAAGCTTCTACATACAAAGATTCAGAAAGAAAACTAAAATGGTCTCAGAAAAATAATATCTTCTTCAATATGGTAGCATTTAGCAAAGGGTTTATAGGTTTGTTTTGTTATAACAAGGCTGATGTATTTTTAAAAGGGGGGACATTTCCCATGAAATTGTTTCGCCACTTTTCTCCATTTAGTTTCTTCACTATATAAAAGGCACGCAGCAAGAAAAAAGTATCCTGTTGTATGACATGACTGACATTTACTGCTGTGAACATCCAGCCAAAAATTTAAGACAGGACATACATATGAACTGCTAAAAATCACAGTTTGTCTTTCTTTAAGGCGACTATTTCCATACATTGTATGTATAATGTTTTCAGTCAGAAGGCAAAGTAATTTATTGGTTTGGAAATACACCAAACTCAATGTTTAATACTTAATGTCTAATGAAACAAACTACTAACCATTTCTGCCACAGCTTCTTTTCCTTTTTGTATTTCTTTTTCTAATTCTTCCTTTCTTTTTTTGAAGGATTCCGAACTTTTTGAGAGCTTGTCTTTGGTAGCTGTAAGGTCCTTGAATAGATTATCCTTCTCTAATTTCACTTGTTGCAGCTCTGATGTTGCTGCTTGCATTTTACAGTCTAGTTCCTTGAGTTGTTTACTTGTATCTTGATTTGATTTCTCAAGGTTTTGTTTGAGGCTAGCCTTTTCCTCCTCCTGCTTTGAAATTTGCTGCTTTGCTTGTTCAAGGGCCTCCGATTTCTTCTGTAAATCCAATTTAGCACTAGACATCCTGCAAATAAAGAGAGAAAAATAAAGTACGTTGTGATTTTTTTTTTCTTCTTCTTCATGGGTTCATTAGAATAATTTGCATTATTAAATGTCTCATTTAATACATTAACTGCAGAACTACTTCAAATCATAACGTTTTAATCTAGAACATGGGCGGTTTGTCTCTCCAATGAAGACATACCAGCAACTCTAAATACTATTTTGAGATGGATTTTTCTTCCTCAAACATGATGAGCAGAAACTACTCCTTTGTTGCATATGCATAAACTGCAAATCAGCCTTTGAAAGTTACAGAGCTATGGATATTTTAAAATGGACCTTGGTACATCAAACTCTTCAGATATTTAGCTGACAAAAAGCAGAGCGAATAAACTGAAGAGGTCTATTGAATCACAGCAGTTAGTGATTCACATGAGACAATGTGGCAGATGGGGTCCGCGTGGCATAGAGGGAAGAAAACAGGTAGGATATAACTCCGTTTTCATAGCAGAGGGAATACACTGCTTTTATCTTTGATTTTAAGAAATCACAGGACAGAAGAACAAAATTTGAACTCTAGTCCAAACCACTCAAGCTTTACGTCTGACTGAAAAGTGCTATAACACAGGAAATGCATACGCTTCTCTCGCCGCTTCAAGCTGTTTACTCAGTTCTGCTGTTCGGAGGTCTAATTCTGTATATTGCTGTCGCTGCTGCTGTAACTCCTGAAGAGCTTGTTCTTTGCTTGCTTTAGCATCAACGATGTCAGCTTCAAGTTTCTGAGACAGAAAAATGAAAAGTTAGAGCCATCAGAACACAGCCAAAAAATAAAAACAGCAATAAAAAGCAGAAGTCATCTAGTCTGTGAGTAGCATTTACTGCAGAAATTCTTTACTGTAGAAAGCAGTCACAACTCTCACACATGGTCTACCTATTTCATTAGTTTGCTATTTATCTCTCATAATTTAGTTCCTGAAAATCTCTTGTTCCCCTAGAAGTGAACCATTTTGATAAAACACTCTGAAATCATCTTTGAATGTCAAGCAGCCTTGTTACTCCAAAGTAATAAATAAAAAGTAGAAATTTTTTTAAAGCCCATACAAAGCACCTATACAAAAAAAGGTCATACACAGTGCTCAGCTTTGGGGCCAGGTTCTCAGCCACCACCGAGGAGTTTCAGCAGTTTCAAATGACTGTTGATCTACATATCCCAGGAACTCTGCCATTCTTTATAACAAAAACAAAGGCGCCAACTACAGCTGTAAAGAAATCCTACACTCGTCTGGAAGAGGTTTTTCTTGTTTTGTTTTCAGAAGGTACTTGTTCATTGACATGGAGTATAAAGAACACAGAAGTCTTCAGCACACAGGCACTGCTCAGGCTCTTCAACACACTGGCTGTTTTACAGGCACTTCTACTTTCGTGCAGTGACCATGAAACAAAATAGATAGGTTTCTCCGAGAAAATTCCTGAGGGCTTTTTTGTTTCTATTTTTTAATTCTTTATTTTTTTTTTAGATACCACGCATTCAACTGGAATAATCCCAAAGAATGGTGATGACACCAAGATTTTACACAGAATTGCATTTCTGATGACAGCATCAACAACCCTGCTCATTTTTCACACTTCAATTACCAGGAACCTTGTAAAATCTTGTGCAAGTGAGCACTATATTCCTCCCAAGCATTTGGATCTGTTGGTTACTTGTGAAACTTGAAAAAAATATAAAAAACAAAAACACAAATGAAAGTGGGCAGAAAAAAACAGCGTGCAAAAGAAAACAGAGATGGAAGCACAAAATAATGATGCAAATAATGCAAATGTATGGCTGTTTTATTTTTCAATAACATTGGATTTAAAATTTCATACAGGGAAAGCACCCTTCCTTCTCTCTATAGAGCACATAAACTAGGAAAAACACCCCACTCGGTCTTGAGCATAAAGACTGCTGATCTCCCTCAAAATAGGCAACACTGCAAAATCAATTCCACACTGCTCCTAAGGTCCCTGTATCATATGGTTTTAAGTATTGTGAATCTTCATTAAGCAAAGAATGCTCAACAAATACTGAACAAAGGTTAAAGCCCAAATTAAAAAGCTATCAAGCATCCATATCCTTAAATGAAAATATTAATATCTCAAAACACCAAAAGGTTCTGCAAACCTTCTACTAGAATTATATATAATTTAAGAGAAAAACTAATTCTAGAAATAGAATGCAAAACTCATGATCAAGTTAGAGGAAAAACATTGACAGAAAAAACTTGATAAAAAAAACCTTGTAGAAACCTAATTAAAGGCTTTTGAAATAAATTAAACCAGACAGGTAGTGTTAATTTGGGCTAACCAAAGTAACACATATTCCCTGCTACCACTTGCAAGGTGTACAAGGTTGAAGACTCTAATTTCAAAAAGTATTCATTTTCCCTCTTATAACACTTAGCAGGTAGCACAGCAATTTGTAGAAGCCCACATTCAGAAAAATGACAGTATAGTGGCAATGTCCTAAGGCTGTCGTCTTAGTCTGATATGCTAGCACAGAAGAAGAGGAGAATAGGGTTAAAGAGTGGATCGGGAAACACTAGTGAAAAAGAAAACATACAAAAGTGGTACTGACATAATCCTTCCCCCACAATTTGAGCACAGGTTTTATCACGTACTACCAAACAGAGAAGACTATCAGTCTCTGTAAGCTCAGATACTGTGTTCAATACAAACCTTAAGCTGTCCCTCTAGCTCTTCAGTTTTCTGTTCCAAATGAAGACGTTTCTCTTTGTACTCCTTAAGATTGCCTTCCAGCTGAGCACAATATTCCTGCTTGTCATTCAGCTTAGCCGTAACCTGATCCAACTGAACGCTGACCTTATTTAACTCCTGAGGTAAAATAAAAGTACAAGGATTGTTAGTTTTTAAAAATTACTAATGTCACATATGCTTTAAATGATCTAATGTGTTCACATTAAAAAGGAAAATAATGTTTCATTTTTATTCTGAGGGGCAGGAAATTGAGAGCAGAAACACAAACACATGCACAAATTCTCTTTGTTAAGCTGACAAAATTTCTTTTAAAGCCTCAATATTCCTCTCAAACTTCACAGGCTGTGGGCTAAATCTTAACAAAGGCGTTTTAACTTACAAATGAAAGAGGAATTGTAGGTAATAAAGGCACTACATTCTGCCGTTAGTACAATAGTAACTAGAAAGTAACACTAGAAAACCTTAGAGAAAATTTTTGCTGTCTTCATGAAATCAAGCACCACCAAAGAGGAAAGTCAATGCCATGGAAACAGTCATTTCCCCACATACCAGAGATGATTTCAAACCATTTGGTTCAACACAAAACAATGTCATTTCCGTGAGAGACTAGGTGAATGCATTCACCTACTAACCACTACGATGACAGCTACATCAAAGCTTACTGCTCTTTAACCAATCTGATTTATTTGATTATTAATTACTTATTTAATAGTTGGAAAAAGAGGTCTTCTGTTTATAGCAATTAATTACATTCTCACACTAAAAATGGTGCTACATAAGCACCTGCTGGATGTTTCCACGAAGAGCACAACAGCACTGATTCTAACAATGCAAGTATTTGATTCAGCAGCTGGTGGAATCCTTCACAAAGATTAACACACATTAAAACACACAATTTTAACAAGAGTCTTTTGGGTCTTTTGTGTCACTTGGCACAGAGATAATTATTTTTCTATACAGGTATCTGATTCTGAATTTATCTGAATCTGCAATAAGAGTTAAGAGTTTTCCTTGTACCCAGTGCATTCTACAATCTTTTCTTCGTAGCATACAGTGAGAAATGAATTATACCCCAATAGGACATTTTATATTCTGAACCATAATCCTACAGCAAAGAGTGGATTCCAAGTGAATTCCTTACGCTGCAAAATATATGTGGTCCAAATTACAGCAAAAAGAACTGAATATGTATCACATCGTTAAAATATCCTATATTATTATTTCCAAAAGTATATTTGTATATTTATTTAGTTTGTAGACAGACTATTCTCAGGGTTTTGAGTAGTTTTTTAGGTAACATAGGAACTTGATGCTTATATGTTGCTTTAACCTGTTGCTTATCTTGCAGTGCATGCTGGGCAGTGTCCAGATGATTTTGAAGATCTGCTCTCTGAGCAGCTTTCGATGCTTCTGCTGAAAGTAGCAATTCAGTCTTTGCTTTTACCTGAAAGACAAGTTGTATTTCACTAAAATACTTATTTTACCGTAGCTCATTTTAAGTTTTTTTTATACGCACCAGTAAGTTTGATAATAAAAATAATTTAAAAAAAACACAAAACAACAAAACAAATATAGACAAAAACAACAACAAAAACCCACCACTTGCCATCCATTGTTATTCTGAATCCACTTACATTTTCTTCAATTTTATCTGCCTTATGCTACCTCATTCGTCTGTTAGTAAAATACATGCAATTTTTCCCAAATTGCTTTGTATGTTCTCTGGAGAGAATACAGAAATCACACGCAGGATTTATCATCACCAAACAGCACAGAGTTCCATTACCTGCACATCAAGTTGTGATACTTTCTCTTTACTTTCATTTAGCTGGCTGGTTAGTTCAGTAATATTTGCTTCCAGGGAAAGCACACGGTCCTGAGCAGCTCTTAGATGTGCCTTTTGCTCCTGCACTTGCTCGTGCAAATTCTCTTGGGCTTGTTTATGACTTTCTGATTGATTCTTTAGCTTTTCTGTCAGCTGGGTTACCTGCAGTGGGAAAACAAAAAAAAAGGAAGTAAGTAGAAGAGAAGGCTGGAACAGCCTGTCCAAGAAGTCATAAATCTTCTGAATTTTAGCGTGCCTCATCATGGCTCCGGAGATTCAACACTATCACATTTCTTTTTCTGAATTATTACAGTAAAGCTATATTGTACACAACGCTAGAGTTTAATTAGGTTACCAGCTGAAAATGGAAGCAAAAGGTGATCATCATTTTGGTCTTAACGTAACAAGTACAAAATTCTAAGGTGACAACAGATGCAGGCCAAACTGAATTTTGGTGTTGAAAGCAGGAATTAAACCTCTTTTTAAAATTAGAGAAACAAACATGTAGACATACTGAAAGATTATTTGTAAGCAGATAATACTGGCATATGTACAAAGGAAAGAAACATCTAGGAATTCCTTCCCTTATGCTGATAGCAAGGAAGTCACCAAAACATAAGTCCTGTGAAATTTACAGTAAGATCTTTAAATTAATTATCAAAGAAACAGCAAAGTACAAGAAAGATTAGCATCATACCCGATGAAATAGAAAAAAAGAAGTAAGATTCAATAATGAAAATGAAAGAAAAGAAACAAGTCTCTGAGTTCCTACCTGTAGTTGCAATGCATGGTTTTTCTCTTGCAGCTGGTTAAGAACTGCAGTTTCTCCTTCACCAGCTTGAATTTTTGCATAGAGGTCCTCTCTTTCCTTTTCTAGCAGAGAGATGTTTTCCTTGCTTTTTTGAAGCAATGCCTCAAGATTTTGAATTTTTTGGTCCTTATCTCCAATTTGTCGTAGTACTTGCTCCAAATCATTCTAGAAAATTGCATAATAGCTTCCTTAATTATAAGGACCTTAGAAGTTATTCCTAATGCATAAAATGTTGGATAAATTTATTACACACTTTCCGTATATTCTGTTCTAGATTTACAAGTTAATTTATTGAAATTAGTACAAGTCATGCAAGTCACTTTTACAGAGAAAAAAATATTTAAAATAAGGACATCCTGAAATACACTTTCATATGAGGATATATAACTATGTTACCTGGGCTTCTCGTAGTTTTGCTGTAGTATTTTGCTGAAGTGTCTGCTGTTCCTGGTGCTGCTGTTTTGCCTTATCTAATTGATGCTGCAATTCTGTAGAATTTACTGCTTTTTCCTTTAGCTGAAAAAAGAAAACAAACAAACCAGACTAATGAGTGAACAAGCACCATTCAGTATGCTAATAGTGCTCTACATTCATCCTAATGCCAAAAGATTTTAGTCTAAACATAAGTATTTGAAAACTGGTATAAAAATAAAACGTATGTAATGCTAGTTAAGGACTCAAAATCTAACCAAAGCATTCGTTACTATTAATACGTGAGATTCTACATCACAAGTGAGAAATATAAAACAACTATCAGACATGTATGTATTTTAGCTCTCAAAATCTAAAACATAAGAGATTTTTAGTATGTCTTTTCCAAATGTTGTTAAAGTGTAACATGACTGACAATATAGATACCTGTAAAACAACATTATTATTATTATTAAGATCATTATTATTATTATTATTACCATCATTATTATTAGCGGTTTTAGTAGCAACTTCAGTTTAGCAATCTCTCCACTTCTATACTGGTCAAGGCTTTGCAAATTAGCTACAGAGAAGCTTTAAAGCTTTGACAACATACCACTCATATATTTGGCCAATCCCCATACAGGCAGCAGAAAATCAGCAACATATACAAGATGCTCATTAAAAAAAATAAAAATTAATAAAACAAGTGTTTTCTGCCCATCCACCCCACGCAGGTTATTAAATATCAATGACATGCTGTGCCATGTTCACTTTCATTTCACGTAAAGTTTTATGTCACAAAAATACCTACACACAAAACTTTACCCGTATGGGCTTAGGTGCTCCTAGGTCTTTTTTTCATAAGATCCTTGACAAAGTTCATAAATGCAAAAAAGCACATCTTTTATTAATCTGTAAAGCACCATGAACATACATGCATCCAACAAGCATTTAGCCTTACAAAAATCTGTAATCCAAGTAGGATTAGGCACATTTTGACAATTTTAACGTAATACTTTAACAGTATTAGTCAAATGAAATTACCATAAGGACAAACTCTATAAACTGCAACATCACCGCAACTGTATATACAGGCTACTAGCAGAACCAGAACAAACCAGAGTCTCCAGAAAAGCCCCTACCTGCTCTTCAGCACGAGAAAGTTTTAATTGCAGATCAGCCACCTGCTGCTCTTTGTCCATCAGTTTCTCACTAGACAGCTGCCTCTGTTCCTTCAGCCGCCCATGTGCTTCCCCTAGCTGGCGCTCTGTTTCTAGCAGTTTACTGTGCAACTGCAAAAAAAAAAAAAAATAATCAATTTTTTTAGTCATTCTTCAGTCAACGGTGCTGATTTTAGACTCTATTTATGCAATGTTTACCCTAAATTTTCATAACCCGGCATAAAACAACTACATGAGCTCCTGAAGTCATGTATGTACATCATATACCACAGAAACACAAATCATGTTGAAGAACAGCACCAGCTGCATAAGCATGATTCAAAAAAAGTAGGTTGGAGGGACATCAGAAATGTCCTCATTTATCTAGAAGCCCTTCAATATGAGTGACAGAGATTTAAGAGAAAGACAAAGAGGGCAAAATCCTTCAAAGGCATGAGGACTACCATGTAAAATAGTGATGCTTACAGCAATCTCATCTCACACAGCGCACATCCTCACTCCTATTGATCCAGTGGCTGAAGCACCATGCCTTTACCTGCTCCCCTGGCTCCCACAATATACTATTCTGAGCTGCCAGATGAGTAGGAGTGTAATTTTTAGCTTGTACCTGGCTACATCAATGGCATTCATTCTCTACAGGGAAGAGATGGATGAACCTTCAGTGCAAGGTACACAGCAACTTTGGTCACTTATAGTCCAGCACCTCTCAGCAGCAGAAAGTAATTAGAGGGATGTGCTCTTCCAGCTGGACAAAGCCTACCTCATAATTTTTTCAGTCATCAAAAGCTGCACCATCTTCAAAGTGCAAGGACGGCCTTTTACTATTCACCATTACAAAAAAGCTCTCTCCATAAAATCACCTGTTCTTCTATGTGAAAGTGCCTGGGTTACCTCCTGCCTACTTCCATATGAACACATCCAAGCGTACACAAATGAACTTTCAGCTCAATGGAAAACCAGAGAATGGATCAGGCCCTGCAGCACAGCAAGAACTCCCTACAGGTATCAGGATGAATGAAGCTTGCTTCCCTATGAATTTATGTCCAAGACCCTTGAACCATTCACCTTTTAACTCCAGGTCCTCCCTCCAATATCCCTTTCTAATGCTTTCCTCAAATTCTCACTAATACCGAGGCAAAAGGAAGCACAATCTTGTAGCTCACTGCAAGCTACCGCTTGTTGACCAGCTGGCTGCCTACTGGAACAGAAAAAGGAACAGTGGTTTTGATAACATTAAATATTCCCCGCAGGCATCGAGGGGGTGAGGCATGAACATAAGCCTCTCTCCTTTACCCAGCTGCTTGTTTCCACAAGAATTTAGCACTGAAGAATCTAACGCTGAAGACCTTTGGGGCCATCTGTCAAGATCTGGCTGAAGTTATCAAACAATGCAAAAGTTACAGGGGATGGAGACAGGGAAACAAATGTGTCCATGCCTTATTTTCTTAGGAAATTAAACTAAATTATTTGTTTATATGTCCACAAAACATGTGAACGAAAAGCTGTTCAGCATGTGGCCAAGATGCTGATTGCTAACTGTGACTGCAGAGTTAAGAGAGAGGTACAAGAAAAGGGAGTACAGGGTGAGGGAAAAGACCATAATCTCTCCTTCAGTAATCAAGAACATTAGTCTTTTCTGCAGGAATCACTAAATTATTAATACTTCCTCCTCCCTAAAACATGAACAAGAGCTGGAGGAAAAAATCTAATGAAGAAAGGGTGCTAACTATTCATGGCTATGTTGATATTGGGAGAGAGTATTTAGAAAGGGGGAAGTCAGCAAACCACACTATACAAAAGTCAGTTAAGTATTTTTGAAGGACTTTAAATAAACAGAGCCATAAAATCCAGGATTAACCTATGTTACAGAATACAAAAGTAATAAAAAAAATATTTACACTTTCAAAGCTACAATCAAGTAGATTCACATTTTCTAAACAACAACAGTATTTATTAGCAATTAACATTTCTTCAAGACTAAGGGAGTCCATATTTTCTTTTGTTACCCTCTTCTTATTAGCTGTGCTGGAACCAACACTATTATTCAAGTTTCCTTCCATTGTGAAGATCATTTCATTTACATCACTCAAATTTCTAAAATACACAAACTTCATCAGACATGTATCTGTTCAAATGAATTTTGGCAAGGATTCTTTGAAAATGTGGTTTTACTGAACAACTATACATATACCTTCATAAGCAGTATTCATTGTGTCAACACAAGCTACTGGATTACATGCATAAAAAGATAATACCACTAAAATATTAAGTGAAAAAATATGAGAAATATAGTCTCTTCATAACAATAGTAACTGAACTCTTGTTTGGAGGGAGAGAGGGGAAGAGAAGTTTTTGCTTAGCTTTAATTTTGTTTTACACCATCTATGAAGGGCTTTTTAACCTCCATTGTTCTTTTACAATACAATTCTAAAACGCATCCTGAGATCCAGCAACTTGTCCAGGTTTTTCTTGCTTAGCCTGTCTCCTTCCCAATGGTATCACCAGAGGATGAGCGATGCCTCCATTTCCTGTCATAGGAATCCATGCAGCAATACATCATGTTCCTCCTCCTTCATTTTTCCACCCCCAAAATCCTTCCTGAAAATGCCCTCTCAGGCTGAAGCCAGATTTCAGCTCAGCCTCTTGGTTGTGTGCCTGAAGCTTGAATACGTGTTACCCAGACAGACTGAGGCAATTTTACCAAGTGAGGATTCCTAAGCAGATAACTAATATAATTACCTCCCCTCCCCCTGACAGAAGACTGATGGGAGAAGGGAAGTCATTCTGAGGATGTAATACATACATAAATGAAGTTTTGCCAAGCCACAGTTCTTCCAAGATAAACTATACGCACACAGCTTGCAAGTTAATCTATTTCAGACTTGACAAAGGGTTGAAAATTGAGAAACACTTTTAAATGCTAAACCTTTAGTGAGAGATTAAAATGACATATGTCATACTAACAAAAAAAAAATATCCCAGATTATTTTTTCAATCTTAGGACTGGACACGATTCCTGATGCACAAGTATTTCTCCAGTCTAATACACTACTCCCCATGACACTAGCTAAAACAGAGTTCAACCAGCCTCAAATGTCAGTATGCTCAATGGTACACAAAAGTCCTACTTCCATAACCCATCGGACTCAGCAAAACAACGTGTAAACGATGGGGTATTCTCATAGCTACCAGCAACATAAAGAGAAGGTGTTTATGAAGAGACCAGGGGGAAGCAATATTAAGACTTCGTATTATCTCTGCTTTTCACTCTAAGTATTCCCTACTGTATCCACTATTCAATTTTAAAGCAAACCAAGCATTGTTCAGTTCTAATGTAAAACAAAGACTCACTTTTCTCAAACTTCCTACAGAATAGTAAAATTCCTGAATTTGTTTTTCTCATAACCTGAATTCATTATAGCTTCAGCTACCTTACTGAACCAGAATAAATATCCTTGCTGCCTCTTAGGATTCGTATATTACCATATTTGTCATGGAAACTCAACATTCTGGGCTGCCCTTTCATTTGACAATACTTCCGTTATTTCAGGGAATGCATCAACAAAAAAAGAGGAGGAGAAACAATGTAGGATGAAAGAAGAGTTCATTAACACCAAGAGTGGACCAAAAACCTGTCTCAGATCAGCCAAGGCCTTTTTTAGTCACATACAAAAAAAAAAATCAAATCAGAACATGAGAAATAAGCTACAAAGTTTATGCTCATTCAACCTTAATCTTCAAAACTGACATTAGAGAGATAGTTTTAAGAAGAGTTCCAGATAGAACAGAATTAGTAAGATGTTTCCCTTTCAGAAAAAGGGGAATTATACTACAGATAGAAAGATGCTACAATAACCTTCCCATAAATAAAAATGTGAAAAGGTTATTGTAACTGTAGATCTTGCTGAGTTTGATTGTGACAAAGGGCCTACAACTACCCTCATTTGCCCCTAACAAGAATTTGGACCTACTAAAAAGATTCAGACGTAATGACAAGCAAATACCAAAGAATTTCTGCACTCTTATCACAGCCTCTTCTTTTTACCTGTTCTTTGTTTCACTTCTCTAAGGCGAAGAGGTGATTGTATTTCATTCTCTGCAGTGTTAAGAAGACTACTTTATATTTATTCAAATACCAGCTAGCTTTATATTTATTCAAATGCAAGTGCTGGTTAGTTAATCCCTTTCAATAAGGAAATACAAATGCATATGCATGAAAAAAATGCATGCACTGTTAAGAAAACCCTCATGGGATGGTTTGAAGAGCCATCTGAATAGGAAGGTCTAAGAGGCTTAAGGATCCTTACCTGACTGAGTTCGCTTTGGAGCTGCAGGCCGTGCTGCTCTTTTTCCTCCCTCTGCTGCTGGAGCTGTTTACATTCCGCCTTGAGATGCTGGTACTTGGTCTCTACTTCGGACAACTCTTCTTTAAGTTTCTGGCTTGCTTCCCCCTTCTCACCTAGCTCTGTCTGTAACCTCTGTACAGAGGCTTCAGATGCAGACAGCTTTGCCTGAAGCTGTTGGCAGTCCAGGTCTTTCTGGTGAAAGCTTGCCTGCACGTTCTTCCTACTCACAGATACCTCATTATGTTTTTCTTCTAGCTGGATATAGTCCTGTTCTTTCTTCAGCAGCTTCTCAGACAGACTCTATGAAGAAAGTTACACAGCAATTCAATTGCAATTCTGCTTGCAGCTGTTCGATGCATTACTCACATTTCTTCTCAAGTCTTGATGCTGAACAGCAATAAACTTCCTCAAAAACATTATTAAAGGAAATATTGACCTCTACTTCATATTACACAAGTTAATTCTGGACTCCATAGAGCACAGTTTCAAATAGAAATAGAATGAGAATGAATAGAAATTCTCACATAAATCCTCTTACTGAGTACACCACAAAAAAATCTATTTCTGTATTGTGAAGACTAATTTGCTTTCTCTGAACGTTCAAATTCTAGGTTATTGAAACTGCATTTGCTTGGGGGAAAGCTGAAGTAGTAATTTGAGTTATTAGTATACAGAAAAAGTTTTCAAGTATCACTGTCCTGCACACAATTCCCTAAGCAACAACATTTGTGGTTTAATTCCTGTCTAATCCTGTGCAGACATCATGCCAGTAATTTTTAGACGTATCCTAATTTCGCCGTCGCTATACTTACAGCATGATCTGCTATCCAAATTACAGAAGACAACCTATGAAAACTAATGAAATCTATGATGTTGACAAATCACAGAATAAGACACTAATGATTTAACCTTCATCTCAGAAGATTATGTTTTCACATTTTAACTCATTTTAACTCATACCATCTAATTTCCTTGCATACAAATCAGTTCAAAGAGGGTGGTTGCTCTGAGTTTGAAAACACAAAAAATTTGGATTCTTAAAGGAAAGACATGAACATCACTGAGTGATTTTTCTGACCACATTAACAACAGTAAATATTGCAGCGTCTAAGGTCACACTATCAAATTTACACTCTGAGAGAAATACTGGAAAAAATTATTTACAGATAATTTTCAGGTATTACATAATGCTTTTTATCAAATTTCATGAACTAATCAAAATCGTATTCAGAGAGAAATTAAACACCTGAATGGATGAGATACAGTTCCAGAAAATTTAGGTTTTCCCCAAAGCTTTGCTGAGACACTAACTAGAATTTCAGAAATCTCCAAGCAGGACAAAGAAGCCATGAGAACTATTTCCATTTTCCAGTGGCACTTTTTGAAGCACAGAAATACAGTTACAGAGAGTCCCTGGTCATCATCCTCTCCAGGTAATTTATTCTTCTTGAAATGTATCAGCAGGTTCCATTTATTGCAGGATCTTACCAACATCTAGCTCATTACTATGCACAGCTTTTAAATGCTTGTGTTCTTCCTGCAGTTTCAGTAACTACTATATTCTCTAGTGACCCTTTCAATTATAAAAGAAAAATAAAGAACACTTCTATCATGTCAACCTGAAACAATGCCAACACTGAGGTCAATATTATGTATCAAATCTTCAGACAGTTCTGCAGCTTTGGAATAACAGTTCCAAAGATAAGATAGTGCTGCAATTCCAGCTATGCTGGGCATCTTAAAAGTGCACTTCTGCACAGCATCCAGGGATGAAACCTGTTCAGCCAGAAGAAAAAGTTGTTCAAGTAAGTTGAACAGGTTTTTTTTTCTTTACAGATTTTAACAAATTATGACTATATTGGTTGTTATAAACCATATAAAGACACTTTCATTTTACAATCGTGGTAAAATAAACAGTAGAATCTATTAAAAAAAAAAAAAAAGAGAGGTTAGAAAACAAGCGATCTTGCAAATGAGAACTCTAGCAGTCCAGAAGCCCATGTGAGAACAAACATAATTAATGCCCTATGTGTCCATTTAAAAGAACAAATACATTCTAAAGCATAAAACTTAGCCAAAAATTCTGGCTCAAGACTGAAGTTTGTCTATTGAATTCTAGTGTATTTTGAAATGTTTCCTGTAAAATAGAACAACTTGTTGCTATTACAAGTATGTTGAAGTTTTTATATATGCATATATAAAATGCAGGAATAGAGCACATAAGAACACACTGACACCAGGTGCCATCGTTATTCTCCTGACATCAGTGGCAAGGTTCCCACTGCTTTTAGAATATATTTCACCCTTAGAATATAAAATAAAGTTGCAATTCCCTTTTCATTAAAGTGAAATGACCAGGCAGGATCATTAACATTTGTACTGAATACCGTTCCTGAAATACCAACACCACCACAGAACCTTATTCATCACAGCTGGACAAGTAAGAGCTAAGGCATTAATCTCACTACTCCTCCTTAACTAGATCCACACGTCACATGTAGAACCGTTATGAGCTACTTTATGAAGGGCCAGTGCAGGGCATTAACTTAAATTTTTAAGTAAAGGGATGGGAGGGGAAAAAAAGAAAGAGTTACTGTTGTCTTGAAGCTGACTGAGACTCTGGGAAGCTTTCAGGAACACCATGTAAAACCATCACCTTACAGGCTATCCAAAGGACAGCCAAGAGCAGCAGCTACACATGGTTGGAGATGCTGCTGCTGCTCCACATCCCACACTACTCTTCTCTCTTCCTCCCTGGTCTGATGATCCATACAGCAATCAATACCAGTGATTAAAGCCACTACCCCTGACAGCAGAACACCCTCTGCAGTCACAAATGGCCAGACAGAGCTGCAAACTGTTGCTTTCAGGAGAGAAAAGCTGAGTTTGCCCAACAGCCTGCTGCCTCCACGCGTGACTGAAGCCCACAGAGCTGCTATGCTATGCTCAGTCAAGTTACATTAGTGGACCCTGCAGCTTTTCCTTCCTGGATGCATGTCCCATCTGCACCCCAGACATATAAAGGGATATGTGGGCCTCTTCCCCAAGCCTCCATTTCCACAGAAAAGAAAGAGGGAACTACAGTATGTTACAGCACTCAGTGAAGAGCCCTGAACCTTCAAAGCTCATGAGTCACAAGAGGGAACACCACACCGATCTCTTCTTGCTCCTTGGAAAAATACACGTAATATGTGTTAGTAGTGACAGTGGCCAAGCATTAAAGAATGAACTCTGTAGTCACTGATCAAATTTCAGAATAGTTACTTCAGCAGAAGGTTAGAAACTAAGCATTTCTCCCTGTAGAAAATGCATCACAATTTTCCTAAAAGAAAACAAACAATAAACCCCACATGTAATGGGTTTAGGATTACACCAAATCTAATACTTCAGGGAATACGCTGGTTTTACACATTAGGTCTCCTCCGTGCTACAGGCCATTACTGGTCTCTGCAAGGCAAGCCAAGCCCCACCCCATAATTACAGTGCTTTATAAATGAAGGAAAGGAAGTTCCTGCTGGTCTCAGTGACCTGATCTTATCTACTTGTCATCTGCTCTTCTCAGTATAGATCCTGAAAATGTAAGAAACAGCTTGCTTAAGGTTGTACATGAGCTTAAAGAACTCTGTCTCAATGCACAGAAATACCTTGCTCAATTGCAATGGAATTACAAACGGATGTACACATCAAAATTCAATATATACTATCCTTCATTAAGGGCTCCTGCCTGACAGTTTCTTCAAGGACAGCAAACTGTTCAAAGTGGGAGCAATTGATGTTATTTGGGAAGCTGGTCTTACTTTGTTCAATTCCAGGTCCTCCAGGGACAAGACTCCTTGGCTGACATACCATGTTTTACAGTTATTGTCTTGCAAAAAGCTGCATAAAAAGGTGGCTGTAAACTGCTTTAAGTAACCAAAACAAAGAGGAAAAGCAGCTCACTGCTTCTTCCTGTTCCTCAAGTGGTGTTTGGCATTAACCTGACGTAGCAGACACTCTCTATTAAAGTATAATTATCTAATGCAGCAATCTGTTTCATTCCACGTTGTTAATGGAATAGCAATATATTCAAGCAAGGGCTCTATACTGAATAGCAATAATTTTCCCAAAAGCTTGTTTCAGTGTTGCTGGTCTGTGGAAAAGAGCAGCCTGACAATACTCACCACCGTTCTAAGGGGAAGTTTAATTTACCAAATTTAAATTGCACCTTCTTATATTCTTTGCAAATGCTGTTTTAATATTAGGTTACGCTAAATACGCACTGTTTGGTCCCTGTCCTTTCCTGTTTTCCAAGACTGACAAGTCTGCTGCTAAATACACATGGGTAATGTGTGAAGTTCATATACAGTGTTATATATACACACAACAAAAAGCAGCAGGCATCTTTCTTCTTGTCTCCTTTCCTCCCTTCCCTCCATTTATTGCCCCAAAACACATGCTTTCTTAATGCAAATACAAAATGCAGCAAGCTCAAAGGGCTTTGATAAAAACTCTCAAGGAATACTTATAAGCTGAGAAGCTCCTGGAGTTTCTCTCAATTTTCTTCCATTCACGACTCTGATAACAGACAGAAAATATGACAGGAGTACAATCTAAAAACTAAGAATGAAGAAAGCTTAAAATGTCTTCTGAATTATGATTTTTAGGAAAACATCGTAATATTTCAAAGGGCAATACTTTTTCTTTCAATGTGTGAGATGGCAATACTGCTTCATAATAGGCAAGATAAACAGCAGTAATTGTAAATCTGCAGTAACAACCCTCAGGATTTCAGTTGTAACATACTGATCATTAAAATATAGTGTTTGCCTGTACATTATGATATCCCTCATGTTAAGCAGAATGGTAAAGGAATTCTCAATTTCTGCAACATCAAGGAGTGTTTTGTTACAGTCCTCAGCGCTTTCCAAGGCAATGTGTGACAAGTTTTCATTTTAACGTGAGTCGACAAGCATAGGAAATAACAGCATTCTCACCTGGTTTTTCTGTTCTAGCTCTTTGACTGAACTTTGAAGTTTCTGCAGCTCCTGAACATACACTGCTACCTCCTGAGGTCCTTTGGCAAGTTCAGCTCTTAACTGGTTAATGGTAGCCTGAACAGACAAATAGAAAAAAATCCACACTTAAAACAAAGCTTTGCACGCATAACCCAAACAAAAGCAAGATGCCTGGTAGCCAAGTAAAAAGCATCTTGTATACAAATAAACAGCTTAAGAAAAAAATCACCTACAATCTCATCTCAGAGCACCATCAGCTATAGAAGTACCACTGAGCATAACTTCCCAGCTGAGATTCATGCATGTCCTATGTCAGAAGACATAAATTTGCCCCAATCCAACAGAAAATGCCAGGTTGAGCCCACAACCCATGAAAATCACAACAGATTATCTATTAATCATTATCACAGTTGTAGCTCAAGGTGAAACCCTCCCAAGTCACTGCAGTTACACAGCCAAAAGCTTTGCCTCCACGGTAAAGGCAAAGTACTGGAAAAGGCACTAGAAGTGAGTCTGGAATCTGATGCAAACTTGGGGTTTTGGTTTTTGAACACATCAACCCTGCAGGTCAGCATAATGGGGGTAACGCTACTACCCCACTAAACAGGACTGGTACAAAACAGAACATATCAATGACTGTGCAGTATTTGAATACAGCATTGAAAGCAAAAAAGAAAAGCACTTCAGACAGGTTACAATGGCTGCCCTAAAGCATGCTGTGTATGAACACACTCACTTTGAATACACTATATAATAGTGACCTTTTAAAAGAAGTTTTCTTTCCTATTGTTCTCATAACCACAGATTTCAGCTCAAAGGTATAAATACTAAATTCAAGAATGAACTAATGCAGTAGAAGGAAGTAGCAGACAATTTACGACCTTTCTACAGAAAAAGGAAGACCAAAGAGAACACATGAAGCAAGAACTATAACGTATGAAGCAAGAACTATATGACTACATATAGTTATTAATTCTGACTTTCTGTAATGCTGTGCTTTACAAGGCTGTTTCGTTACAGAGCCCTTAGCTAAAACACATCCTGGGATCTGTCTTTGGCAGAAAAAGAATCAAGGACGTTTTCTCAGAATAATAGAGTACGGATATCTCACTACTGAGGGAATACAATGCAGAAAACATGCAGAAGATTGCTAAGGACACCACCGCAGCCTTTCAAATTAGAATTGTAATTTATATGCATAAAGATACATTTCTCTCATTCACAATTCAATAACCCAGTCCCACATTTCATTCTTAACATGGAGATATATAAAGGATAAGTATTCATTCCTAATATTGTCTGGCTGATGTGTCTGTTTATTAATGAACCAACAAGCAACCAGGAACGCATCTGTTTAAAAACCTCTTGAAATTATCCTGATACAACAGAAATCTACTATAAGAATAAAAAGCTTTCAAAAAGTTTACCTCAAATTTAAGTGTCTCCATTAGAAAGCAGAAAAAATAAAATTGATGGATGAAAGACAGAAATAAGCAGTCACAAAAGCTGTTAGCAGACACACTTCCTCAAATCTGTTTTCAAATATTCCAGTGTTTTTAATGCCTTTGCTTAATGGGAAAAATAAACAGTCCTGGCTTTATTAAATTTACTCATAATTTAATCTACTAATCTTATTCTGCAGGCACTCAACTTAACAACCAAGTCTATGCCCTGTATTTTATGAAGATTTATCAGATACTGAAACAAATCCCCATCTGCAGAGATTCATAGAAATGCTTAGCTCCACAGCAGTGCAGCTGTTTTCATAATATGTTTACTATGCAGGAGTCGCTACAGTGAGAAACGGAACAGGGAAGGAGTATCTCAGAATGAATACTTATCTGAGATACCTAGATACCAGAGTTTCAGGTGCAACTCTAAAATAAAGCATAAACACCCAGCAAAAATAAAAAGACAGGACAACAATGAATACATTGAGACAATTGTGGAGGCATTCTTTTCTTCACATCCCTCTCCTGCAGCATTTGAAGACGCTTATATAGGGTTATGATGATCTTTGTCATTCTATTCACCTACACCATAAATCTAACTTATTTTAAAGACAACTCACTTTGGAAATCAATATCAATATATGTATCCTCAGCCTGCCTGGCAAAATAGCCATGGATGGGCTAAGAACCACTTAACTCTTTCAGCCCTTGAGGTAGTCTTAAAGAGCAAAGCTAGATGAAACATGGCCAATTTTTTACAGTCAGGACTGTACCTATTCTGCCAACGAAGGGCTTCCATTTTTTGTTTTCTTAGGACTAACACTTTTCACAATCACGTGGATTTTTTAAAGAAAGAGCAGAAAAGTTTTCACCACAATGACTTTGAGTAATTTTTTTAAAGTCTGATCTGTCAGTTTACATTGACAGAGAAGCTTTTCTTTCAAACACGTCTTGGACTATTGTTGCCTTATGTTGGAATTAAGCAGAGAAGGCAGTAACATTTCTGAGAAGAACCAGACTGCCACTGCCTACCCTGTTCTGTCACGCAGCAACTTGGTCTTCTCTGGTTCAGCCTACATACTGATGATACTACACAGACATCTGATATTATTATAGTTCCTGCAATGTAGTTTATAATCTTTCCATACGTCTAAGACTTCTTATGTGAACACATAGTAACAGCTAGGGGCACCATGCAGCCTTCTCCCCCATCTGCTGTTACTTCCAGGAGGACTGAAAAAACCTTCTTCACTCGTTTGGGTTTTTTTCCTGTTAAAAGCTGCACTTTAAAGCTAGCTTTTAAAATGGCTAGTTATGTAAAAACTAAAAGATACCTAATTTGAGGGAACAGGAGCAATTCACACTTCTGTGAGAATGTTTTAAGATGAAAGTTTTTGTTACACCCATGTCACCATGTCATTTTATCTCCACATGAAAACTAAATATCCTAAACCACAAAAGACTACAGAGACAGTACTTTGAAATGAAATTTAAATTCTTCAGCATAGTTGTGGGATCTCACAGTTAAAACCAAATTACAACTATGTAGCAACTTACATGGCCACATAACCACATTATATTCATAACTTCAACTATGATATTCCTTTTTTCACATCTGATGACACTCTTGGCATAATTTTAACTTGAAAACAATGGTAGATTCATGTTTAGTACAATACTGTACCCTTATACAATTCCTGGAGCTCAACATATCTGTTGAGGGAAGAAGGCAGGAGGGAAAGCCCTAAGGAGTTTAGAATAATGCCAGGCAGCGCTTCTCTAAAGCTCTGCACTGCAAACCAAGAAATAGAAAGTTAGAACTGCAGCTCTGAAATCTAGGGCACTTGAAACCCCAGAATAACAAAATGTCAGGAATCCTTCACATGCACAAATCTCACCAGGAGACAGGATACTAGGAGACCTACAGAAACTCTAGGCGTCCCCTCATGTAAACAGAGTAATTCTGCAAGGACCCCACTTCACTAGGCACCACAGCCCTGTGTTGACAAGTTTTGCTGGCGTTGCTGCACTGGTGGGGTACAATAGAAAAGAGAGAGGGCAAAATGAAAAGCAACCACAGCTGACCATCTTGAGTGAAGATGGTTGCACTGCCAAGCCATTCATTAGTAAGACCATACCACCCAACCCACTAGTGAGATGCAACAACAATCAGCAAGGGAATTCTTCTGTGGGTATGGATTTACCAACTCCTTAGTAAAATAAATCATATGTTAGACAAAAGCCTTTTTGGTCATACTGTATTTTTATTAGGATTTCTTGCCATTATTTCTGTCAGAGATTTCCATCACTGTCATGGTAAATAACATCAAACAGGCTTCAGACAGGAGGGATCTCAGAAGTCTGAGGAATAAGATTCCCTCTTAAAGATCCAAGTTAGAGCTGTTATATTCCCTTTTCTCCATCTTGCATGGAAGTGGAAGTGTTCACTGGCAGAAAAGCAGAGCAACCAAGAAAACCGAGTATTTGCTGTGGGAAAGCCAGTTAGTTTTGCTTCCTTAAAGACAGAGTAATCATCAATTCTGTATGTTTTCAAATCTCCCATCAGCAATTTAAAACTTCTTCCACTGACTCAGCCAAGGCAGAGGCAAGCCTTCACAAAGTACTTGTGAAGAAACCAGCACATTCAGCAACTCAAGTTGACAGCGAGGTCTCTTTTAAACAGGATGAATTTAAAAGGTTCAAATCCAGGAAAAGATGGATAAAAAAATGTTAAAAAGAACCCAAACAACTAACATGAGACCAATAGATTTTATTTTCTACTTTAAACTGCAACAACAAAGAGAGGAAAACTAAGGTGCTTTTGCCTGAAAACAGACTACAGGTGACATCCTGTCATCTTGGCCTTAAGACATGATGAGGCCTAGCAGTCACTTTCTGCTCCAGTAGATAACAGGCAACACTTGGAGGCCATTATGCACTGGAGTTGTGGGGGGTATTTGTGCAGAACAGATTTGTCCTTTACACACAAAATATTTCTACAATAAATAATAGAGGCTTTCCATTTGACAGTAAAAACTAGAAAAAAAACAAGAACAAAAACCTGTTTAGCCATTAAGGTTTTTAAATCTTGTGTAGGTTCACAAATCAAGTGTCCTAAAAGAATAGTCAATTATCTACCTTGTATTAAAAATTTCTTTTATAGATTTTAATACTCTAGCATCCCTTTTTGGACATATCTACTCAAATACTAACCAAAACCATCATTTTCAGTAAAAGCTGGTTTTATCCTCACATAGCTCAATAAGGGCAACAAGTCTTTCAATCACACAGATACTGCTCTATTTCTCTCTCCCAACAGAAAGAGCACAGCTCTGCCAGGTGGCTTTTTCCTCTGCTACTGGGCTCTTGTAATAACTTTTTATGCTAAGGAAAGGTTTTGCAACAAAAAGCATGCAAGCTTTTGGAGGGTAGGTATTGACAAAATTAGACAATTTACTGTAATGAAGAAACATGTCTATCGGATAAGTTAGAAGATTTGGTTAAGAAAGAGGTTTTTCATTATTATGAATTAATATTTTCCATTTTCATATGAAAATCATGGCAAAGCTAACACACACATCTTTAGGTATGACTATTACCTCCGAGTTAGCCTGCTCTGCCTGCAAGTGCTTGCACTCATCTTTCAGTTTTTCAGATTCTCTCTCCCGTTCCAGTGTCATTTTGTCCATCAGTGTCTGAACTTGGACCAGCTCCTTTTTCAGGACAGCTACATCTTCCACACCAGGCCTTTGGAGCTGAAAAGTAAAACAGCAGCAATGAGCAACGTGCTGTTGGCAGACATGCTTGCAGTGTCAATATCATCTCTAAAAATCTTTCAAATCATCAATTTCTAGATAAGGTGACATATACAATATTACAGCTGTGAAGAAAAAAAAAGCGGGGGGAGGGGGAACACAGAAAAGTTCATATTATTCCCAAAGGAAACAAGATTTAACGGCTAGTTGTCAGTTCTTCCTACTAAACTTTGAACTTGTTAATTGATTTCAACCAAATCTGACAAATGGGATGTCTCAAAGATTAAATTTATGCAATTTTCATGCAGGTAGATGGCTAGGTACAGGAGGAAGACCTTCCCTGGGAGAAAACAACAAATTAACAGGGAATCCATGCAACAAATTCATCTGAAGTCACAATTCCCTGAGAAGTAGGCTGTATTGCCCCCACTACCCTACAGAAGGGATTACTGTATAAACTCTACTGCTGCAATACTCATAAGCCCCTCTTCAGGACTGAGACACAAAACAATCCAGCACTACGCAGACTTTTATAATGATCCTGCTTCTGTCTTCAAGAGCTATTTCAGAAAACCACAAGAACAGACAAAAAAAAAAAGGCAGCTGAAGGAAATTTCCTGAAGGAAACTTCCTAAAGGAACTGTCAGATACACTTCATACCAGCCCCATAGGTAAAATCTGTTGATAATTACATCTAAAGCACCAGAATGTTCTTTAGAGCGAAAAGCTATGGAGGGAAAAGGGAGGGGAAAGGAAATACTGGACACTGAAGAAAGTAGAGAAAAGGAAGTGCTGGCATACAGAAGAGAAAAGGCACAGGGAAGGGGTAGGAACACAGAAGGAGAATGGAAGACAAGAAATGGCTAAACAGATAGAGAGGAATGGATGGGTCCAGTGACTAGACAGGGCCAAGAGGGACTCATGAGACTACAGGGGAAAAGTGGGATAAACAAGTCCTACTTTCCTCCAGAGTGTAAGCAGTGGTTGAGTGGAGGAATGAAGACAAACAAGAAGCTAGGAAGTCACTTCACTATTGATTTGGAGGCAGCATGACTGCTGAGTCACTGGGATTGCTCCCTGGAGCCATGGCTGTGTACAGAAGTCACCAGGAGTCAAAATCCCAGAACACACACACACATTAATATTATCGGCAAGTGCAAGAGGGACAACATTAACATAGGCATGGTGATGACAGCTGCCAGCCTTTCAGCCACCCTGTCACAAAACACCTCTCTGAGCAATTCTTATGAATGCAGCTGTCCAGGGACTGTCAGAGCGTTACACCTCATGGAAAAAGGGTGATCTAAAGACATCTGTGGAAGTCAGCAACAGCGTGCTCCAAGTACAGGCCTGCACAGAACACCTAGATGTGTAATCCCCTGCAAAATTGCTGAAGGGTGGGGCATCAAAAAAGCAGACTAGAATATAATATAGGGAAAATTTTAATACATCAGAAACTACATATATTTCCCCACTGGAAAAACACTGAAAATGTAGGTCAGTCAAACAGATCAGAAACAATGGTGTTCTGAACATTTTCAGCCCACAAGCAGATGTCTCCAAGTTCAACAATTTGGCTGCATTAAAACTGCATTTGCAATCATTTAAGTATATCCCTCCCTTGACTTGAAAATAACAAAAACATTAGTGTGATGTGAATACCAGTTCTGTCTTTAAGTCTTCCACTGTACTTCTCTCCTTCTGCAGTTCTTGTGTCAAGTTTGTCACTTTCTGTTCTGCACCTTCCCGAAGGCTGATTTCTTCATCGTACTTTGATTTAAGATCTAATAAGAAGGAAGTTGAATAAATGATCACTTGCACAAGTTGCCCAAGCAGAGAACAGAATCAGACCTCATGTTAATATACTCACCCACAATTTCAGTGGCCAGTTGTGCTGCTTTTTGCTCAAATAAGTCTTTCATTTGCTTAATGTTAAAATTTTCTACTTGGATCTCTTCTAGTTGCCGTTCTAATGATTCTATTTCCATAAAAAGAACAGTATTATTTTCTGGAAGAGCTAAGACAACACAGTTACTCACACCCATAATAAAGCACAGCAGGTAAATAAGTAATCTAAGTTCACTTAACATCCAATTAGCTTAGCCAAGTTAACAACTTTACTGAAGTTAAATATCTACAAGCATGACGCTGTCACTAGTTGAGTACTGTGCAGGATTAACTACATATTCTTTTCCACTGGTCACAAATAGATCTTCGGATCACTGCAACACGCTGCTGAATTCCGAGCCCTGAACTGTGATTAAGAACTCTTCAATCATGATTAGTCAGATACTTTACGCACACATAAGGAAAATTTTATTCCATGAGTGCCTCATGGAGCAAAACAGAAAGAAAAATTATTGGTCTGCAAAACAAGCAAAAAAAATACCCCACAAAAATTCATTGTTTTCTTTGCTAGCAATGAATTCAGAAAAAAATGAAATGAAACCAGCACTGACAAATGCTATAGTTTAAATATCAACAATCACTGTCTTTCTCAGCAAAAGACTCGTACTGAATGCTTGAATATACGAAATTATTAAAAACATGTTCAAAACTACTCATGAGAACTGCTTTCAGAGTCAGGAGAAGGCCTGTCTCGCTTCTAGAAATTACAAACCCCAAGCCTGTGGAACATTTCCCCAGACTATAGCTATCAAGAGCTATCTAACTTAATCACTTATATGAACTGTAGTTGTACCATTACAGCTTTCTAGCTCTTTAATTTACCAAAAGTGCTTATTCACAAACCTAAAAGCTACAATGAAAAACATTTCAGAAACTACAGCACAGTGAAGAAATTAATATAAAAAAATGCTAGCCACCTGTAGATGTAGCCGTTGTCAATCCATCAGACTTAGAATCCTTAAGAGAACAGAATAAATGCATCATTACATAGAAGGAATAAAAACTACTACTTCCAAAGTTCATCCCATTTTTGGAAAAGACAGGGAAATAAAGACTTCTGTGCTCAAATACCACACAGCAGTATAAAAATACCTGATTTTAAACAGTCATATCTGGAATACTGGAAAAGGCCAAGATGATTGTCCATTTCATGTACCACTACACTATCAGGCTTCCAGACTTGCAAGACTCCAGTAACAATCCCCCTCCCCTCCCTTTCCTCAATATTGAAATCTGCCCTAAAAACAGAGGTTACAGTCATCATTAAATACATTCTGAGAAGATACTGTGTCAGATAGTAATTTCTGGGGTTTGTAACGATCCAGTATCTAAGTAGCTCATAGCAATAAAAGAAGTGAGAGCTTCCTTCAGGCACAGCACACCACAATTTGCCTTGCCTTGTTTGTTCATCTGGACATCTGTGAAACCGCACTTCTGTTCTCCAAAAATTCTTACAAGAAAAACCCCATCACCGTTTCTCATAACAGATAAAACACTACATTTCATTAATTTTCTTTAATAAACTGAGTTCTGAATAAGGCCAACAGAAGAAAAAGTCTGAACTGCACCTGTAGTGAGTAGTAGGGAAGAATAATTATCTAATTTGACTTTGTTCTTCAGATTTATATATACAGTTACATTGTGGAGAGATAACTAGCTTTGTTTTCAAGAACATGTCAATATTCAAATTATGGAACTAACTAAATCAGGCCACGTGCCTTACAAAAAAGGTATTAATCTTCAATGTCAATGCTGATGATAAACCTGCTTCAAGTATTTTAAAGCAATTACTTGCTGCCGCTGCCCCTGCAATTTCTCTAGTTCCTTCTTCAGCTCTTCTGAATACCACCTCTCCTCCTAGGGGAAAAAGGGAAAAAAAAGAAAAAGAAAAGGAGATGGGAGAAAGAGAACTGTAAATTTGGTTGCTTTAGACAGTGCAACACTGCAATTTGAAACAAAGAACCAAGTGCAAGTAAAATACATTTCCAACCTTCAGTGAAGCTTGCAAGTCTTGGACTTCTTGTCGGAGCAGTGATACTTCATCTCTGAGTAAATATATCCACGGAGTGGAGAAAATTAATATGCAGTGGTTATATTTTGTCAATTACATACAGGTTATAATGTGTATTAAATAACTGGAGTGATAGCCATGTACTACATAAAAATAACTTACATAACTATAAATAGTTATTTTTAAGGTTTTGAAACTTAGAACAAACCAGATTAATAGATACTTATTAGTTAACTTTGTACATCACTGGAAAAATGCTCAACGTATTAATTGGATAAATTAAAAAAATAGATATGCAAAGAGCCACATGAAAATGGAATGCAAATCTAAATCAGTGCCTCAGCTCAACCACATAAGTTCAGAATGGCAAAGCTGTGCACTGGGACATTTAACTGTTTTGCTGCCTTTTTAAGAGAAGGACAGGTCTATTCTCCTTCACTTTGCCCACCACGTACAGGAGCACTGCTAAGAGACAGCATGCTATCTTCCTCCTTTTGAAATATGCAGTTACATAATTTTTCATGCACACAGCAATTCCGTACGCCCCATGGATACACTCACTTAATGGGCTGAATGTTTAAAGCCTTGGGATTTTAAATTCTCAAATTTCGTGCTCAAGCCTCCAGCCACGCAAGAACACAAGATCCAAGGCTAAAATTGTCACTAATTGATTTAGACAGCACCCTTCTAAATCACAGGTCTCTTTACAGAATTGCACAACTATATACACAAGGATAATGTTGCATTACTGAGATACAGCCATTCCAAATGTAGAATACCGAGGTCATTAAAATAATGCAAACATACCCTTCTCTTATTGTTCGTACAGTGGCAACACTGAGGAGTACACAGAATATATGTGTGTGGGTGCCAATGCCAACAAATTCTCTCAGTTTTATACCACACAATTTTATTGCTGCTGTGCTGCATTATCCCCTCCTCCACAGATGTTCTTTTAAATTATCTCATGCTTAGGCGAAAAAGAAAACCAAAGCCAGTTATTCTTTAGCTAAACTTTGAAGGAATAGATTCAACTACATTAGCATATTAACATCAGGTGAGGTTCATCAAGAAGCAAGTGAAACACACAGACGCACTTGAACCAGTGAAGCAAGAACTCCAAGGTGGACCAATTTAAATGGCAAAATAAACGTGGGATATTGGAATGCTGATTTTTTTCAGAGGGAGATTTTCTGCTAATTTACACATTATTCTGCCCACGTGAGACATTCACTGGAGGTTTGCAAATACAACTTTACTGAGACAGGCGTAGCTGTAACCCAAAACCCATGGAGTCATGGAGAAGAGGGAGCAGCTTTCTCACCAGCATCAGTAAAAGTCAATCAGCTAATATTCACACCTAAGGTTATAAATGTAATCTCAGGCAGGTGAAATAATTAACTATATTGAAGTTGGGCATGAACATACACCAGATCCATGACACCAAAGCATTTAAGATGCTCTGGTCTTCATATCAGATAAAAGGTTTTGAGCTGTATAAAACTAATTTGTAGTAGAGGGGGAGGAGGAGGGGAGGAGGAGGAGTACAGAGTTCGTAATGTAAGGACCCCTCTACAATAGTTGCCTCGCTATTCCCAACACAGATTTGCTTGACAGTTTTAAATACAAAACATAAATTCAGTTTAACTGACCAGTGGAAAATGAAGGGGGGAGTGGGCAGGGAAGTGTAAGAGACCACTCTAGACAATGTAACTTTATTTTCCTTACTGCCATCCAAATCCTCACCAAATTGCCCCTTCTTCTAGGGCTGTTACAATCCCTTCCTACTCAGCACATCCCCTCAGCCTCACCATCTGGCAAATCCTTACTACCTTTTCTTTATGCTCCACTCCATTCCCCACCTGTAACGCCAGTGCCTCCATCCCAGCACTGAGTACCAATGGCCTTGATAAATCGCATTGGGAAGAGTTACGAGATTTACTCTTGGAACTTAATTATGGCAGTTTATTGGGAGAGTGAGGGGAAGAGGACAAAATGCAATTTATAATACCTAGCTTTCTCTATTGACTACATAAGGAACTTCACCTCCCAATCCTGTTCCTATGAATTACATGTAAACTTCACTGCTAGACCACGAACAGAGTGGCTCCCTGCTGCAGGCTGCAATGTTTCTTTAATGTGGTATTCCAAGTCTTGGGAAAACATATTTATGTTGAATGAGTTTTGTCAAGCAAGCATGCAACTGAGAAACATTGAAGAATGCCACACTAATAGAAAGAAATAGCTCGTGTTACACAACAACTCCCATCAAACTCCCTTTGCTCCATCCAAACTCCCTGACCTTGTCCACTTTTTCAATTATATGACAGAAAACAAACCCACTTGTCCTTAAACTGTCAAGAGCCAGGAATAAAATAAATAAATTTCACCAGCCAACATCTGGTTGACATTGGAAACTTGCAGGCATAAAAATAAATCTTTCATAAACTATATAAACAATAGTTATGACCAATAATTCCCCCATGTGAATGCTATTATTCTACTGAGAGTATCATTTCAGGTCTAAATTGTATCAACCCTGAAAAGACCTAATTCAGGCAGAGAAGAAATACCCATGCTTGAATAAAGGTGCAGATAGGAAACTCAATGTAACTCCACTAGCACCCTACCACTTTCTCCTATATAAAGCCCTAATTTTGACTTCTTTTGTTGCAGCAGCTGGGAGAGAAGGCAGCTATCCACAAGGAAGGGTCTGTCTGTGCATGGAGACATGGCCTCTGCTAGTGCTGGCTCTTACAAGCTTGCCAGCTCCACACAATACTGGGGAGATCCAAATCTTCATTCAGGTAACAACTGAAATACATTACCTCCCACACTCTTTTGTCACCGAAGAACCACCCTCTCTTGAGTTATTACATAAATACTTGTATTTCTTTCAATGTAATTATTCGTCACTTTGAGTCACAGTTCTACTAGTGACTACAACATTTTTGAAGCATTTACTTCCCGGCAGGGGCAGAAGAAGGCAGCTCCCTCAGCAGGTGAGGACCCGCGGGGCTGTGGGGCATGTGCCTCTCTGCTGAATGAGGCCACAGGCAGCAGCTCACTCTGACACGGCTGGGTACAAACTAGGAAAGTTGGGGAAGTGTGACAGAACAACAGAAAGGATGGACATTTATAACAGCTCCCCCCCCCGCCCCCCCCCAAAAAAAATAAATCACTGAACAGGAAAAGAACTAGCAGGAAGTAAAAAGGAAACCTACGTAAATGTTACCCCTAAGAAGAAAGCTCCCCAAACCAACATAAGAGATTGCTCCCACACACAGACTACTCAGGTAAACTCTTCTAGAGAAACTTTCATGTTATCAGTTCCTGCTACACAATGCTGCTCCCAATAATAAAACAACGTGGTATGTTTCCTAAGAATATATTTAGCAATACAGTTTTGACCAAACAGTTAAATGAATTAAATTAGAGAAGACTTCTTAAGAAAAGCATGGAGTTTCTGGAACACAGAAGGAGAATTAGTGACACAGACAGAAACTTCTCAGATTTTTAAATAGCTAGGTAAATAGGGGAACCTATTTAGGCAAATCCTGATGTTGTAGTTACCCAATAAGTACCCTATCTACACAGGGACAAAATCAGCTCTCCTCTCTGTCTTCAGGGTTGTCCTGCCCCACTCTCAAAAGATGAAATTTCAGCTGTATATCGGAAATTAGGAGGAACCTGTATTTTTTCTGCCACACTCATAAAAATCATTCCAGTCTGTAATACTGCATTGTCAGCTGCATGAGAAACAGGTGATTTAATTAACAATATAAACATGTGTATCTGATTTTCATTTATTGTCAGATCAGTTTCAGCCAATGTAAGTTTCAAGCTGCTTTGTAATTGTAGCTGGAAATGGGGCATGAACATTTAAATACTTGACTACATAATTAAGTGTTCAAATTAATGCAGCCTTCAGTGTAATTAGAAGCAGCTCAACACTGACACAAAAGCACATGCACAAATGAGTACTGTTGCACCTTTCCGGTGACAGATGACCTTCCCCTCCATGAGTTGAATCAATGCCAGAATTATGAACTGCTTCATAGTGCTTGAACAGCTCCTCAGCCGATCCATGAGACTTCATACACAGAGGACAAATAAATCCCTATTATAAAAAGGAAAGAAAGAAAAAAAAAGGTGAGAAGTAAAACTTAAATTTTTTCTATCTTATATTTCCACAGAATTCTAAATTTTGTTTGTGCGTCTAAAAGGTAGCAGATAAAATTGTTAAGACCCATACTAATTACTTCATGCACTGGTAACAATTTCAGCTATTAAAAAGTTTAAAAATGCCTACAAAAGTCTTATTCCATTATTCAGTGTTTTTTTTCCAAATAGCATTACATACTAGCAACAAAACCTTTACGCAGAAAAATAAGAAGTCACTTCAGAAGGACTGCTCTGCAATTTCTTTCCCCCTTAAGAAAAGAATTTCCCATACAACTTTTTGTAAAATCAGATTCTTCTTCCAAAAAGGAGGTCAGGTTTGGAGCTTGGTCTTAAAAAAAGGAGATACAAAAACCCACTCTACAGCCTGCTACCATCATATTTACGCTCCTGATTTTAATACGGCCCAGGAGATTAAGAACCACTTTTTTATGTTCATATAATTAATTAGTAAATGCAATTCAGAGAAATACTACATTAAGAAAATCACATCCCTTCAGCCTAAAGAATCAAAAATCATCCATTTTCATTTCAGCATTTTTATTGCAAGGTTACCAGAGTGAAAATTTAGCAGAGTCATGGCCTTATTCTACCCATTAGCACACACAAATGAAAACAGTAAATATTATGTACCTCTAAACATTTGTGGAGTGTCCAAACTGCCATTTATGAGAAGTAACATCCATCTCATTTTATCTAGCAACCTATTACACCTGCTTTTAAGGGCTGCACTTTATATTGGTTCTTCACTCATTTGGTTGCCATGCCCACTCCGAGCTCAATTTCCATTTACACTACAGCCCATACGCACCATCGCGGCAAAACAGAGACACATCAGAGTGAGAGGAAACAATTTAGTCTTATGTTAAAGGCTCCCTGTAATTCCGAGCTCTGCAAAGAGAATCTCGTGCAAGTGAGATGAAGGCCTCCAGTTTCCTAAATTAGTTTCAAATATTCTTTTGCATATTTATATGTTACCCTTAAGTCCCTTATGCTAGTACAAATTGTAGCGCACTCTAGTATCGAAGATGAGAGTACCCCTGTGGGATTATCACACTTCACACAACATATGCTCCTGTATGATTTCTGAAAGATGTATGAAGAGCTTTGACGCTCCTTTTCTTCTCCTAATTTAGATACTTCTTCTCCTAACTTAGATACTACGAGACAAGCCACAAAACTTTAAATATTAGCACAAAATGAACGCACTGAATGTTTATGTTGGTAACCATGATAGCACTCATTTTCTAACTTGACATTCATAGTATTTTGTTTCACTAGTCGCTAAGAATTCTACCAAGCACTTACATGGATTTAATCCAGGAGAACTGTCACGTTCAGCCACTCAACCATGTCCAGAGCTCCAGAGCACTGAACAGGGACTTTATAACTGCTATTACTTGCTTAGTGCTTCAGAAATAAATAACTAAATACAGCTGCTTGTCAAAGCCACCACATATCATATTGAAGATTAATTCTGGCACTAGATCGAAGAAAACAGTATACTCCTTCCTAAGCATACAACAGGTATTTACTCTTAATGGCCATTTATTTCTTTCTAGAACTGATCAACACAATTCCACTCCGGATTGAACTATGTTAACTCATATAGATGTGTACGTGCCAAAATGAGTACAGAAAATTGGTTAAACTACTATGTTCCCAGTAATGTTTATCTGATGCAATTAGCATTCAATTATACGATGGCAATCACTCTGAGCAAAAGAACCAGAGGCAGATTCCTGGCAAACAGCAATGGCAGTGAGCTACAGGAGGGGTCAGAAAGCAAGGAATGTTTTTTTTTCCTAGTAGGTGAAAGCAGTCAGTCTCTTAAAGTGATGCCACAGCATCCTCCTTATGGGATGAAATGCTGCTGAGTGGTTCTCAATGTTTAGTTTAGTTTCTCAGTGATGGGAAAATCGGCTGTTCACAGAGAAAAGCAAATGTTCCTCCTAGCACCAGTAAGTGCATCTGGAAAGAACGAGTGTAGAAAATTGCTCTGGCCTCTCCTTCTTTATGCTCTTTATTTCTTTCCATTTAAACAGCAAAGTCTGTTTTTTCGCTTGTTGGGGTTTGTTTGGTTTTTTGTGGTTAGGTTTTATTCTGTGGAAATAAGAGTCCTGGAGAAGAGGAAAGAATAGATTATATGCGCAATTAGCCCGAAGGGACGGCAATCGGTCATTTGTCTCAATTATTAGGCAAAGGCAGCCCAAGATTTCCCAGGCAGGCAGATCTGAAGGGAGCGGCCGTGAGGACGAGGAGCCAGAGGCAGAGCAGAGCTGCCAAGCCAAGGGAACGTGCTGCGGCCGAGAGCCTGCAGGGTGGACAGCAGCTCTGAAGAGGCAAGCGGGCTGCCACCAGCAGAGCGGGGAAGCATGGACAAAACCTCCTCTTGATGGCAAAAATGCCCTTGCTTGCCCCCACCAGCCCCAGCCTCTCCGCCAGCGCTGCCGTGGCCACAGCTGGCCTTGCTTTCGGGGACCGAGCACCGATGGAGGCAGCGTTGGGTTATGGATAATGTCATCCTGGGGCGGGCAGGAAGGCTGGCTCCTACAGCTGCAGGCACCTCCGCTCACACGTCAGAGCCTTAAACCACACGAACCCAGGACCTGGCTGCGTCTCAGAGGATGATAATACTCAGATGTTGGCTCTGATGTCAGCAGCATTAATTCAGTTCTCCTCATAGTAAGAAAATCAGAATCGTCAGGGTCTTCCTGGGCACCAGAGGAGTAACAGACAGAAGTGTAAAGGTTTCCTGGGCCTGCAACTATTAGTCCCCAGGTGACAATCTTGTTTGGGGACTTGGGTTGGTGGGTTTCTCACTCTTTCTTAAAAAAAAAAATTAAATACAGCCATAAAAGTATCTCTCTCAGCATCATCTTGAGATGAATTCTGAAAATATACACAAAAGTGTATTGCCCTGATCTAAAGACAAATGTGTGAGAAGATGGAAGAAGGGAAGAAACCTGATAGTCTGAGATGCTTAAATCTTTTAAGCACTTTTGTTAGCTTGCCGGAATTTTCATCAAGTTTAACGTATTCCTGTATTGGGACCATACCTGTCCTGGATAAAGAGGAGATAGTGCAGTTACAACCATGAGATGTAACACTGGTCACCACGACCTGGGGGAGCTGAGGCGTCCTTTCCAGTAAACCTGCACTTGGCTCCCTTAACTAAGAGTCTCCTTTACAGAAGATGCAAGTATGACAGAAACATTCTTGTATTTGAAGAAGAAAGCCACCATATAAAACATGCGCAGTTACACTCTTCAAAAGGCTGTACTTGAGATGAGACACTTCGTAAATTTCATTTTAAAATGCGTTTAAGAATTATTTAGCATAAAGCAGAACCACAGAGAAGTGAAAGGCATCTCATATTATTCATTTAATATAAGCATATATTCTTCATTTAATTAAAACAAAGACATCACTTAAAGCCCCTGCAGCACTGCACTGTAGAGTCATTACTTCCTCACTGATGTTTCAACTTGGGCCTTATCTTTCACTTCACACAGGCACAAAAGAGCCTAAAAGAAGTTAAACAATGATTAGTTGGGTTTTGTTTTTATAAATAGAGAATCTTTTTGCCAGGAAATTACTATTTATTGAATCCAAAGCTTTTTGCAGATACCTGTCAGTTAATGGAAAACAAAAAGAAAACCACGACCATCACATGCACAAGTTTTTATCAGGAAAGAGTTCTTAAGATCACCACAGAATTGCTGAAGCAAGAGAGAGCCAGAACAGTAAAATAGAGGAGGAGTCCAAACCCAAGCCCCATATGCAGGCATAAACAAGCCACTAGGAGTCAGCACACAATTCACAGCTCAAAACAGGCCCTGGCTGTCAGAGGGGGGGGGCTGAGCAGTCAAGGCATTCCAGGGAGAACGAGAGAGGTGCTAAACTCCAAATCCCAATTTTCTGATCCCAAGGGAAATGCTTCTCTTTCAGGTGGACACCCGTGATCCATGCCATGCACCAAGCACCTGCACAGCACCATGCTGCTCCTGGTGGGTCGGGCCTTTCTCAGTGCAAAGACTCCAAAACACACTGGTTTCGCTCCAAGCAGAACAGAAAGAAGTTACATAGAAGTTCTGTAGGAGAGTGTCTTGCCTCAGCTTGAGTTATAATGCCAAATGTCACCAAAGATCTCGGACTCCATGGAAGCACCAGAGGCTTCTTGACTTGCCCTTCTCAAGACAGACTTACTGGTAAGCCTGTAGAACAACACTTATAGCTTGTAGTATTTTCCCCCTCTAATAGTTAAGAGTTACTTTCAGGCCTGACAAAGTTAAGCTTCTCAGTGCTCTCTCTCCTAAAAGGCATATGAGGTAAATGATTCCTTTCGGGTGACATTAATATTCGTACGAACCATTAATACAGTATTCTTCGGGAAGTATGCCAGGATGCTAAAAGCAACACTGGAAGGAAAGTCTCACCACAAGAACTACCATATTTATTTTTATTGTACCAATATAATTTACAGGGCTATTAACTGTTGGAAGAACTTTGGCCTCCCACATGGAAACACACTGCCCAGGGAGCGCAGGGGAAGGGACCCACAGGCACACAGCACACAACCAGATTGCCTGCAGGCTACCGTAGAGCCCTCCTAATCCTCAAACTATTTTAAAACTGATTCAGAAATAGTTTACGTGACAGAAAAATTAATGTTATAGGACTGAATGGATTCTGTTTCTCTGGCTTCTCATATCACTCTGTAGGACTCGGGGAGGAGAGGGGGGCAGGACTGCAGTGTAAAAATATATTTCTGAAAATTTCAGCCTTCTTACTGTCTTACTTGTAATGTTTTTTTCCTCCTTTTCAGTTCTGCACAAACCTGATCTAATGAAGTTGTGTAGTGTGACAGTTTGAAAAGCAGTATTTTCCTTGCTCACTAGCAATGAAAATTGAAGACTTTCAAAGATCAAGCAGGAG